GTGGTGTATGAGAGTTGTGTGGAAGAGTTTAGGCACCAGTTCTAGTGCTACCTCTTTATACAGTGTGGCTGTAAACAGAATTCGGATTAGGAATAACCCTGCCTCCTGCATGAACTCTCTGTAGCTTAATAGGGTTGGCCAACTCTACTGTATTTCAGTGTCGGTCATGATAGTGGTACGTGGAGAGCCTGATATTTTTTGAGGTGGTATGCTGTATAAAAAGTTTGCTTACATATAAAGGACAGTTTTTATCACAATCTAGTCTGGCCCATGGACCATTAGAACAATGCAGATGTAGAAGAGATCCAGGAAATATACTGACATGGGTTTAAAGCACCTAAACCTATACTAAGCATGCCATCACAAGATTTGATTTAAACAGCAAAACAAAGAACAACAGTGTGCTTTCTCTCTGTCAGATACCATACATAGCTCTCAGTAATAACAACCTTGCTGTCGGTGACCTAAATGTTGCTCTGTAATCGCCTGCATAGAAGATGGTGCAATGTCAAAGAGAGTTGGCTCAGCAGAACAGAGCACTTGTATACTGTAATATAGTGCAATCCCCCCCCTCCTCCTCCCCCATCTCTCCATACTCTCAAAGAGTATTCACTGGGGAAGTGATGTGGGATTAGTCACTGCTTATAGCAGCCCAGGGGTGAGCCAGCAAACCCAGTAAACCTATCCAGGAGAGGCAGCTCCAAACTGGGCTGACATACTCGCAGCCAGGGAGGCTAACGAGCCGCAGCTTGTGCTTCACCAGAGGGGTCCAAGAGGACTCAGGGTCTGGGGAGATAAAAGGCGTTTTATGGAAATGATGATTTTCCCCCTCTTCTAAAGCAGAGATGATCACAGAGGCAACGCTGTATCTGCTTATCTTGAGTCACAAACACACAGACCCAGATGATGGTGGACCAACTGGGTCAGTGGAGAAAGTGAGCTCATTGTTTAATAAACTGTGTCAGTAAAAGACAAAGTGTGTATTTTTATGTTTCACATTTCCCATTCCAATAAATATGTTAGGCTTTTATATATTTCTATGGAAAGAAATGGAGGGAATGTTATTTTGTATTAGTCACGGCAGCCTTGCTTGGATTTGATCACTCTACAGTGGAGTTTTTGTTTCCTGAAATTAGGTTGTGTAAAATGACAATGAGCAGTATGAAAGAGTGGGATAGTCATCGCATACAGGCTCATTCTTCAGCGCGTGACGTTGTAAAGGGAATCAGAGATATCCGCAGTGGGGGGTTGAGCCTCTTCTTGCTTTGTGCTGGTGCTAACAGGATTTAGCAGCCGTGAAACTGGGCTCCTCAGTAGAGCCCAAATGGCTTCCTGACTCACTCGCTCTCATTGTGCGCTGCGTTCTCCAGCTCCAAAAAAAGGGGGAAGCGGGTGAACCTAGAAGAGTCAATAATCTTGAGCACCTTTGTTCGCCTTCTTTTAGACCTATAAACCCTCAACTTGGCACAAGGCGGATAGTATGTGATTGTGTGTTTTACTATGGGTTCTGGAGGAGGTTCCAGCTGACTGGAGCACCAAGAAAAAACTTGGGAGGTGGGGGGGGGGAAACCATGGAAACCAAACTAGGTCACCGCACAAACTTTTTTCCTTTTTTTTTGATCTAGTTAAGGCAGGGGTTTGTATAAATGTGCCTACATTTCCATATCAAAGATGCTCGAGACCCTCCTCTCATGTGGCCTTATTATTTATTACATCGCTGTCCTTTGATTGGCTTCTTTTCCAGGGCCAGCATTAGCAGAGACCCGTTCTACGACATGTTGGCCACCAGGAAGAGACGCATCGCCAACAAGAAGTGAAGAGGAACGATCTTCTCAACCTCCAGCTCCTCCATCTTTCTCTCCTTCAGTTCATGGACACGTAAACCACACACACACACACACACACACACACACACTGCGAAGCTGGTTTACCAGAGACGACTGTCAACGGCGGAGAAGACCTTGATCCTGAAGACAAACCTCAGTTGCTCCCCTGGACTGTCTACAAGTCATGTGCACTTGCTGGGGAGACTTCACACGACTGAGGGGACAGCAGAGCTCCGGGAAAACCCAAATATAAGGACTCTTGCATGGAGCAGCACATAAACAACCAACCAGCCAGTTTGTCTCTCCTCCATCTCAAACACACCCCCTACCTCCCCCTCTCATGGTCATAACATGTTTCTAGGTCTCCCTAAAGCACAACTGCCATGTTTCAGGTGCACATGCATGCATGTGGGTTATTACAGACCAATATGTTTGTGTTTGTGTGTGTGCGTGTGTGTGTGTATGTGTGTGTGTATGCAGCAGTGTGCATGCTATCAGTGCACACAGCATCTACAGTATGGGTGCCTAAGTGTTCCCTCCACTGTGCTTTATGAAAAAGTTGTTGTAATTCAAAATCGGAGTTCAGACGTATGGTCGGGTTCACGGGGAGCGAAATGTGAGGGTCAAGAGAGACGTTTGGAGGAAGGAAGGAAGGTGGGAAGAGGAGGGAGGGTGGTGGTTAGAACAGTGCAGCATAACCTCACCTGGACCATGTCGTCATCTCACTCTGGTGCTGAATTCTTCTCTCCAGGTGCCATGGCTGAAGCCCTGCTCAGAGTAACCTCAGAAAACAGCGCTGGCTTTCATTTAGGTTCCTAACAAAGCATTAACAGTGTTGAGTCAGCTGGGCTGATTTCATTTATTTGTGCAGAGCAGAGAATTTTGAAATGTGCATACTTTTTTATTTTAGTTGAGTAGAAAAGGCGCCTTTGCTGAAGCTTGAGATGGAACTTGCTTTTTGGACTTAAAGTTGTAACCCTTAGGATTTCAGATTTGATATTGGTGACACAACCGTGTTTAACGATGAGAACAGAAAGTGTGGTTTTATACTACAAAAAAAAAACTCCTTTAGCAGCCATGGGTCAGAATTGCAACAAAATGGCAACTGTTGTATCATTTACAGTGCAGCCAAACAAACTGACAATGTTTTACTAAAGTCCGTCATTTATAGTCGCAAACTGTAATGTGACTGCCTGTTGCCTGCAGCCAACAGTTCATTGTAGCTGCTCCTCCTTGTTCAGTTAGTCTCTTGCAAGAACTTAAAACGATCCACTGAAAGCCACCTGGTGTTTCACAGTTGCTATTAATGTGAAATGTTGGGTCTGCATTAAGCTGTAACTTGAAACAGCTCTAACACGGCTGTGGGAAAATTAACAGGACAATGAGGCTGATATCTGTGAGATAAAATTAAAGACTAATGTTGGATTGCATGCATGCATTGTTTTGTGAACCCCTCGTGCATGTGAAGGCAATTTAAATCAAGCTGCAAAATGGCAGACCCCGCCACCACCAATGAAAACCAACATTCAGAGAGGTATTTCCAGAATGCAGATACATTAACTGGCTATTGCAGATTAAATGCTGTCCATAAATAGCGTCAAAAATGGGTTTGATTTCATAAAAATCTTAGGGATTTTAACTTTAAAAAGTTGACTGGGTTGGTTTCATTTATGGCTGTGCAATGGCCCAAGAGGGTACCAGTCTGATTAAGCTTTTTTTTCCTCTCTTTTGTATGGCCTATGTCAGTGAAGGTCGATGTATTGTTGTGATCCTGTTTGCATTTGGTTTGTACTCCCTAAAGAATCCTTGCTTGCTTTTGTGTTCCTCTTTAAAAGGTATATAAATATAACCAGCTATCATTTTTGTATTTATTTTCATTTGTGAAACGGTTTAATACGACCTGTAAATGTTCAACAATGTATGCTTAAGTTATGTATGTATATATAATGTATAGGTTTTCTGGTCTCTTTGTTGTAGTATGCACACTCTGTGTAACATGTTCGAGCCTACAGGCATCAGCTGAAGTTTGGGGTCTTCTTTGCAAAAGCCTTAAACATAATCATAAGAAAACATATGATGATGATGATGATGATGATGATGATGATGATGATGATATTGGTCAATAACTGTGACGATGCTCTTTTAAAAAGCCATGACTAATGAGTGAGAAAGACGGTTGTTTTTATGATGATGATAAAGATTATAGTGAAAATGATGTTTGATGTTGATGATGATTATAGTGAAGTAATATCAGTGATGATGATGATGATGATGATGATGATACTATCATAGATGATGATGTCAAAAACTATAAACACCAGTAGTTTTCTATGTGATTGTAAAATAAAATGAAAGCCTTGTGGTCAGGGCAGAATATTATCTTCTACCGCCCTGCGTGGCTTATAGTTACATTAACTTTTATATTCTCTGTAAAAGCTATTGGTCACGTTGTACATTACGTGTATCTATATAAAGTATACATAAAGCTTACAGCCGATGTGTGGTGTATTTATTATTAATGCTTGTCTTGACCTACTTATTTGCATAAGTAATGAGGTACCATAAATGAATTATACAGATATTTCTGGCGAGGTGACAAGCTCTCCGAATGTCTAACATGTCGTCCTCCATCGTGCAGAGCATTAATGTGTGATTCAACCTGGTCAGATACACGGTAAATTAACAGGAGAGGTAAAGGAAAATATTTTGGGTTCCTGAGAGGAGTCAGAGTGGAAGAGAAGATGTGGTGAATGACTGGGGAGAGGGCGCCCTCTACTGGTGCAGACGATAAAAGTCTTCAAAAGTCATGAAGTCAATGATGTACAAAGAAATGTAGGGATTAGAGTAAGACCTGTGGTGGAGTTTGGGGTCAATCTGGTAAAGGCAGCCCTGTAGAGTTACAGCTCTTCTCAATTACTTAAGCATGTCACTTAATTTTTCCTGCCAAAGGCCGTCACTAACTCAAAATACACTCCACTTTGTGAGGTACTCGTGCAGTCTCACACAGTCCAACAGAACTGCTCTGTTTTGCTGCTCGGTTTCATTCAATTTTGTGTTTCAGCGCTGAGGTGTTTCTTGCAAATGAACCTCTCCTCTCTAAATCCACATGAAAGGATCCATTAAAAGGTCCAAACCAATGCTGTCTGCAACAAAAATCTCACAAATTTATCACCGTCAGTTCACACCTTGTACTTTATTCACAATACAGTAACATTTGTGTAAAGTAAAAATAAATAAATATAAAGAAACGCTGATATAACATTTTATTGTAAAGACTGATGTCAGCTAATTCAGTAGAAATGTTGTCTGGCTACAGCATACCTCACCTCAAAGGGGAAAAATGAGTCTGTAAATTTGAGGATGAACATGTCACCTTTTATCAGTATAGATTACCAAAATTTACAAATCAATATTTAAAAAGCAGCATACTTTTTCATGTCAGGATTTATACAGAGATTGATAAGTGTTTTAAAAATTAGTAGTATAATCCATTTTGATGAAGTCAACACATTACTGGATCAACTGGAGATATAAAAGTTATTTCAAATACATCATTTTTAATTATGTGTGACAATATATTTAAAATTCTTTAAAGAATGTCAATCTTTAAATAAACATAATTTTTATTTGACAACTGTGCTTAAACAACTGTAAAACAAGATAAAATGCCACTCAGAAAAAGGCAGCTGCCTCCCAGTGGTTAAACATGGAACTACTGTGTGAGGACATTTACTTCACAGATGAACAGGCCTTTTTCATCGAAGACATTTTGACATGTCACAGTAGGAAAATCACAGCTTTAAACAGTATGATGAATTTCATTTAGCTGCTTTGATTTTAGGATCCTTGTGCCCTGCATGCTGGCTCACTGTCACAGAGCTGTCGTTATTGTCATTAGTAACACCTGTGATTTTCCTGCTATGACACGTCAAAATGTCTGCTGTGAGAAATGCCTATCATCTTAGTGTCAGACATTTTTTATGGTGAAGCAGAGTGTGGCTACATCAACAGATTCAAAACAGCACTTTAAGGGACAGTTCACCCCAAAATCAAGACATATTTTTCCTGTAGTGCTACAGGAAAAATAGTGCTACTTTTGTAGTGCTACTTATCAGTCTAGATTGTTTTGGTTTTAGTTGCTGAGAGCTGGAGACATTGGTCGTAGAGATGTCTGCCTTCTCTCCAATATCATGGAACTAGATGGCACTCGGCTTGTTGAACTCACAGAGCCAAAAATTAGATTTGAAAAGCTACACCCTCCATCTACTCATGGACAAGAGGTTTGAGCTCTTGACTGCGCAACATGTAAACATTAATGGCGTCCTCCTCGGCTAAGCTGCAACGTTAGTTGGCTCAGTGATGCTAGGTGAGCCAGCAGTAGATGCACGTTTCCTTGTCACCAACAAACACCGCTCAGCAACACAAAAATTCAACCCTCACAACTCAACAACTTTCTATTGAACAAAGCTGGTTACATAAACCAAAAGTAAAAGCAGCCTATTCACCAAACGTATCTGTCTCCCAACAAAACCAGATACCAGAGCAAAAGCACGACACATTAGGGCACACAGCCAAAACCATCACACAGCTGAACCAAATCACCTCATCAGCATGTGCAATCAAGCATGTGCCTGCTGCTACCAAAGCTACAACACACTTAACAAATCAACCTGAATGGACAAGCTGTCAGCTGTCACATGCAAGCAACACAAATCAAACTGGGCCAAATCACCACACAGTCTATATGTCATCTTGTGGTGAATTTCAGCTTCAGACGAGCCCCTGCTTGTTACAGTTGGCAGGTGTAGTTCAGTAAAAAAGAAAATAGTTCCTACATGAAACGGTTCACAACAAGGTCTGTGGGTTATCTTGAGTAAATAGGCAATGGTTTGGACAAAGAGACATTGCTGCTGAGTTTATCCAATTTTTATTTATTCATTTATTTTCTTATTTTTTGGTGCCTTAAGCACCACAAGCCGAATACCATCTAGTTCCATGAACACTCTGCAACTCATACCGAAATAATCACTAAGTAGCACTACAGGTAAGAGGAAAAATGTCTTTGATTTTGTGGTGAACGGTCCCTTTAATATCTTATCTTATAATCTCTTACCATTTATTCATAATGTCAGACAGCTGCACATATTTCATTAAAAAAATCTATATAAAACAAATATAGATGATTTTAGCTGGTTCACTTTAATTTTAACTTTGAATATATACATATTTATTTAATTTGAAAAGAGACAATATATATTTGTCCACATTCAAATGTAAATGCACCCATGTTAGCTGAAAGGCTTTGCCTGATGTTGTTAGGCAACTTTGAAAAATTAAAATGACACATTTTGTACAATAGTTACAAACATACATTGTGGTAAACAGCATATACAATACAATGTGGACATATTCATGAACCTGGGATGTCAAGATGTTTGAGACAACACTGCAACAATAATGCATCACACAAACCCAACAACACTTGAGCAGGCTGGATGCTTGTTGACAGGACCTGTCTCTGTCACCTGCCCTGCTATCTGAAGGTTATTAAAGAGGTGATGGATTTTCCTGTCATTGCATCACACCATAGTCTTTGCCCTTGGGAGAAAGCGTTAAATTTGCCCAATGTTTGTTTTCGGGTAGTTTTTTGCTGTGTGACATGATGACAACTGCCACAGAATAAAAAAGGTCCTAAAGAATAAGGAGCATTTCGTTATTGCAAAATGGTGGAGCTGAGATATTCACAGAAAGAAAACAACTATGAGGCACTGGAAGGTTAAACACACAGATACAGTTAAAGCAAAATACAGAACCTTTACTGTCCCTTTACAGAGGTCAACGGTAATCTTCTGTGTACCAGATTTTAATCTTTTCAGACAGAGAGAATAACACCATAACCATGTATTTTTTTCTACAACCTGTGCATGTTGCCTCCACCTTGAAAGAAATGTAGGTGCTGCTACAACAACAAGCATCTGTGACTCCATAAAAAGCCACACACACGTCTCAGAAGCCCTTCGATCAAATCTGCACCCTTTTTCTCCCTGAAAAACATCACACTCACAGTTACACATCTAAGCTCTTCTTCTTGAAAGAAAACTCATTAGGCCTTGTGACCCCCGTGTGACCTTTAGTAACCTTTACGTGACCCCTGTTGTAGTGACAGACCCCTCAGCAGGGCGAAGAGGAGACCTGGTCATAGTCGGGGCACTTGAGGAGAGCAGGGTAGCTGGCACTCATCTGGAGCGAGGCTTCACTCGAGATGTCGGAGGGACTTCGCCCACGCGACCAGGCCTCTGGGTGGAGGAACTGGCCCGAGTGGTCGGAGCAGTTGCTGAGACGGGGGCGGTAGAAACTGGGGTGACGGGGCGGGTAGATCTCCTCTGCTGTGTAGCGCTTCATGAACAGGTAGACGGACATGACGCCTGCGCTCTGCAGTGTATAGAGGGACACATTAGTTTAGATTAAAATAAAATCAATGAGCTCAGAGGTGCTTTTGTGTACAAGAAACAGTTTGCAATGAACAAGCCTCCACAGCACTAAACTATTATCAAAACAGCTCATGGATTGTTTTGCTAGTTTGTTTGTGCTTGCTTTAATTAATAATGAATGGTAATTATTGATATGAATAAGTTATACTGATATGTACACTTGACATAGTGTTGCAGTATCTATCTGTGAACACTGGAGGGCAGTGAACACTCATGATTCTTCTTACACTCTCACATCCACTGAGTGTAAAGGCAGATGTAATACTATATTAAAGGAGCACTTCACACTCAAAATTAACATTTGTATATCAAGAAAATTACTCACCCTGTGTTACACTAAATTGGTGAAGAAGAATATTTTTCTCACATGCCTCTGTGGTAAACAGAGAATCCAAAAAAAATTAAAATATTCTTAATAAACTGAAGTCACTGGCGACCATAGAAACTCTCACATAACTCCTGCAGCTTAATCCAAGTCTCATTTATCCAGTCATATGCTCAGTACTTCGGAAAAGGAAAGTGAAACTTATCAATTAAGGGAAGTGAGTGACATTTCGGGTGAATGGTACTTGAGAAGTCTAAACCAATCCAGGGTTAACGATCTAAAACCAAAAGACTTAACACCAAATACACTGAACTATTTGGGGCCAAAAAGGTCGGAAGTGCACTTAAAAAAAAACACTCACTTAAAGAGAATAATAATAATAATAATAATTTAATTTTAATATAAAAGATGAAAATCAATAAACAATTTTATGACAAATAATATCCACTTTGTTTTCACTATCCTGTAAAGTTGGTCAAATGTCATCTACGCCCCCCTGGTTTTCACCCCTCACTATGCTCTCCTCAAAGCTGAACTTCATTGTCAAAAACAATAATTTTTTTACTTTGCTGAACATGGAAGCTGCTGGTGTACTGCTGCCTGGATTACATGATTACTGTTTTGCCAGGCTTTAAAGTGGGCATCAAGTTTCACTCTCAGTTCAGTGACCCCTGACACAGGGCTGGTAAGTGCTCAACAGCACTAATGTGTGACAGTTTGTCAATGGATGTTTTGATATAGTCTTGCGATTGTACAACATGAACCTTTACTACTTTAATTCAGCAAGAATTTTCTCCATCTTTGGATTGTTCATTCACTGAAGGCATGCGAGAAAAACGTCTTCTTGATGAATTCAATGTATCACAGGGTGAGTCATCATAGATATACAAATTGTCAGTTAGGTGGGTGAAATATTCCTTTAACACTTGCAGTCAACACTTTCAGAATTAAACAATCAAAAGAGACAGCGATCTTTCTAATATTTACATTAAGCATGTCATAAAGGTTGAAAAAATGCTTTTAGAAAGGTGGTTAAATGTGTAAATGACATGTTTATTATTGGTGTGGCATGGTGTTGGAGTGGTTAGCACTATCACTTACAACAAGAACCTGCCGACTATAGTGAACATCATAGGCACCACAAGTAGATTTTATGGCAAAAAAAAAAGGGAAAAATAAATCTGATAATTGCATTAGAATCTACAGTTGTACCTAATAAAATGGACACTGATGGGAGAATTTACAATCAAAGATTATTTTGGCTTTTGCAGCCACTGAACCTGCACAAATAAGACACAAGGAAACCTTGTAATTCTTAAAGCAGCCACACAGGGTGAAATGCTTCCCAACTGTGCTTCCAAGCACATAGCACCTCAGTGCTCCTGGGCTATTTGCACATATTTAAATCAGGTAATATGCATACATTTGGCACAAAATTGGCCACTTTCTATGTAAATGAGCCTCATTTTAAAAACAGTCCAATTCACAGAGATCAGCGTAAATAGCCACACGCAGTTACAATGAAATTATTATGGTCCTCAGAGAGTTGGTGGTAACTGAGGTGTACTGAGAGACTGGGATATTAAATCCCAAATACGTTTTCTCTCCATCACATTTAAATTCCTGACCTGAAATTTAGAGGAATGCCTAGACCTGGTCGATCAGGACCTGCAGCTCGCAGTCTGAACATTTCAGTTTTCTTTTCCTCTCTGCCATTGTTCTCCCTCCTGTGTTCTTGGTGCAAGGCGGGCAATATTTATACTTTGCCACATGGGTAGTTGCAATCAGATGCAAAAAAAAAAAAGGGCAAATTGCACTCAGTGGCCAAAAATTCTGTGCGTGTTTGCGCTGTAACATCATTAGTGCAATATCCTTTGTAAATCAGACCTTGAAACAGGGCAGATAGCAACTGAAAGTGATGCACAATTCATGATGCTTTCAATGGCCACATTTCATTCATTGTGAATTTGCCCGAGTATATACGTAGTAAGGCTATTGATGGGAATTTGACACCTTAAACTCAGTTGGTTGCAATCTACAACCTCACCACTAGATGCCACTAAATCCCACACATTTCTCCTTGAAGATTCCACTGCTCAATTTCATGCAACAAGTTCTGTGTCTGTCTTTTAACATATTTGGACAATGGTGTAACTGACTGTTCTCACTTTAATATGTCATGTCTTGGATTCATGTGTTTTGTAGACCCAAATACTTTGTGCCCAACAGCTGCACAAGTTGTGCGTGTGTCTGTTCAGTGGCTCACCTCAGTGAGCAGGAAGGAGATGGCAGCGAAGGCAAAGGACCAGCCATACTTGTAGGTAAAATAGGCCTCATTGCTCTTCGTCCTGTTCAGCATCTCATCATTTATACTGGAGATGTAGAGCACCAGACCCACCACCAGAGCCAGACCTGAGAGACGTTGAAATCAGTGTTAAATTCAGGGTTGAAGCAAACCAAGAAGGAGAGAGGACAGAAACATGTCAAGCAAGGAGAGACGATGAGTGTACCTGAGAGGATGAAGAAGATCCCAGAGACAAATGCCAGGATGGTGCGGTGAGGCCGGACGTGGCCGATGTTGTTGAGGACAAAGCCGATGAACATGAAGAAGAGGCTGACCAGAGGGAACGGAGTGGCTGAGCGGATCATCTCTGAGAAGAGGAGGAGAACAGCAGCTGTTTAACCCCAAAACATACAACGAATGGGTGTCAGCATTAATTTGTCGTCTGCTCTTTTGCCAGATTTTTACAATATCAATAAACCTTCGATATGAGCCGCACTGAAGGACTTGTGAGATGTGTCGTCTGTGAAAAGGTGACGAGTATTCAGATGATTCAGACACGTTCGGCTGGCGACATTGAGGTGAGTTCAGAGCACAACCTTCTTGGAACAAATATTTCCCATGAAAATACCTCCTACTTTTTATGTGAACCACCTCAAGGGGTCACCTTGGGTTATTATTCAGCCTGAGGTTACTCACTGAGCACGTTTACTGTGGACTCTGACGTCAACTGGACGTTCATGGGCATGATGTAGGCGATGGTGAAACAGCGACCAGACTCCTCACCTGAAGTGGAAAGAGATATAAATGTTGATGTCAAATGTTTAGTCAAAAAAGAGAGATGTAAAGGTGTGAAAAAATTGTCCAATGTCCATTTTAAAACATATAAGTCATAGATGAAACAAAATACCAAAAACAGACAGAGAGGAAGTCCAAAAAGGCAGGCGAAAGGTCACTACAGGGCAGACAGGAACAAGAAGACCAAAAAGAAGCGCGAACTCTACAGGTGTGGCAAAGATCTGGCTAAAGAGCAGGTACTGAAGGGCTGATGAGGGAACTGGAAGCAGGTGTGCAGATTGGTGTGGAGGTCAGGTGATGGTTAAAGGTGGAAACACAATGACTGCGCAAATATATAAGACTGAAAATGATCCTACTAAGTTGTTGACATGTCTAATGAGAATTAATGTTCCACTAATATTCCCCCTTACATGTCTCTCATGTCTGTAGCTGGAGCCATTAGCTGTTATCTTAGCTTAGCATAAAGACTGCAAACAGGGGGAAACAGCGAGCCTGGCTCTGCCTGAAGGTAACAAAATTCACCTCTAAGCCTCATTAATTACATGTTATATCTAATCTTTTAAAATCTGTACCATAAAATAAGCATAAAAATGACAGTTTCTTGACTGGGACCAGTAATTTCCTGGAGTCTCCACTGGTTGCTTGGCAACATAACCCCTTGTGAAATGACAATTTCACCCCAGAACAAATCTGGGCTCATTTATTCTGCATTACTTGTGCGTCATGTGATATAGGCAACATTATGTCTCACGCAAATCATATATTTTATCAAATAAGTTCCCTCCTTCAAACTTTAATGCTCCGTTTTCCTTAAATTTGTCATCAACTTTTCTTTTTCTTCTCAGATAAGTGTGAGTTACATCACATCCTACGAAGTCAGCTACACAGTCATCACTGTCACTTCAGCATCGTCACACACACATCCACCAGCTAATTCTGCGACACGATGAGATGACGTCTGTCTCTGAAGACTTGTAGGTGCAAGTTTGTGTGTGTGTGTGTGTGTGTGTGTGTGTGTGTGTGTGTGTGTGCGTGCGTGCGTGCGCGTGTGTGTGTGTGTGTGTGTGTGTGTGTGTGTGTAGGTGTATGTGTGGAAAAATTAATAAAACTGAATGTAACTTGTTTTATAGTGTGTGAATGAAACAGCGGAGACATCCAAACACACTTTCTATCTCTCTGTTGCTCTTCTTTCACTCTGCCTCTTGTACTCCACTCAGTCTCTCTTTCTCTGTCACACACACACACACACACACACTGATGAAGTAATTGTCAGTGTCATTTTGCGTGAATGTCAAAGCCAGCTGATGCAGTGACAATAAGTCTCACTGCTGCTGCCACATTTAGACGCTGCACAGCAAAAAATGTTCACCCCCTGAATAAAGATCATTCCACTCCACACACTGTCACATGTATCCGTGCCACACTCCTGATTTACACATGATTAACTGCTAAATTACTGGAGCACAGAAAACCACACACCCCCAGACTCATTACTCACCAGCCAAGAAGCAGACTCTCCAGAGGCCCGAGTGCAGCGAGGTCTTGATGTCGACACTCTGGTTCAGAGGCATAATGACGCCCTCCTCCAGATACAACCAGTAGTCGGTGCTCACTGCCACTCCCAGCAGCCCCAGGCCACTGATTGCAAAGACACTGCTCAACAAAGTCAGCGCCTTCCTGCTGCACGCGCTCATGGCGACAGCGGGGGAAGCTTCCAGCGGTGGTGGTTAAAATCAGGAAAAGTCCAAGAGGCAATCTGGAGGAGGAGAAAAGGGCAAAGAAGGTAGGACTGAATACTGGTGGTGATTACTGTGAAGACCCAGTGTGTGTTCTTAATCAAATAAATAAATACACAAGACGTCATGAAATAAATACGACTGACAAAAATAAATACATGTAACATGTAACATAATCATGAAATGGTTATTATGAGTCACTATTTCATCATTAAAGTTTACTGGGGTTTAGCAGGTTAGCGTAGCTTAGCATAAAGACTGGTAACAGGGGAAACAGCCAGTAGCATGGCAACCACCTTTCAGCTCCTGTAAAGCTTACGTATTTACACATTATATCTTATTTTTTAATCCATACAAAAAAGTGAGTTTTTTTTATGCTAAGCTAAGCTAACTGGCTGCTGACTGTAGCTTCATATTTAGCGTTCAGACATAAGCATGGTATCTATGTTTATCTCAGTCTGAACAGAGTCAGAGTCACTGCAGGGGGTCCGCCAAATTATTGTTTGATAATTTAATTAAAGCTTTGTCTGAAATTACACATTAACATTAATCCAAAATATTATTAATAAAGATTAATCTGCATATTCATTTAAAAATAAATTAATTTACAGTACATATCATTATCATAATGACAGGCCAACTGTTACCCATGAACCCTTGTGCAATCCTGTAAGCTAGCTAATGTAAATCACTGTGCAGCACTGATCCATAACTGCAAAGTTTAACTAGTTAGCTAACATACTATTGAGATATACTGGCTAATTAGCTGTATTATTAACCCAAGACATTCTTGTGGCCACAATAGATCATTTTGTAACTTTTCGAGCAGAGTTCATGCTAATGCATCTAGCAGGGCTAAAACTGCTGCTGACTTAGTAGCTACAGGTGAGCGCAAGTGAGAGAAGACCCCCAAATTATTCTGAGACTTATCTCAAGAGCAACTCAGTTTTACACCCCTTAGCTTCTTTGAGCTAAGGGGTCCTTGGCCTGAAAAATGTTGAAGACCCCTGCTTCACAATAGAGCTAAGCACATTTAAACCACAAGGAGAATGAAACAAACTAAAATGTCATAAAATGTCACCAAGATAAAGGACGGAATACAAGAAAGCCAAAACTACAATCAAGATAGTAAACAAGAAACTAAAAATCAATAAGAGAGCAATAAAGAAGAGAGACAGCTCAGAAATAAATTAGGATATGCTTTCCAATCAAACTACATTTTAGGGGAGACTTAAGCAAAGACACTGAGTCAGATAGCTTTATTTCCTCAGGCAGCTCGTCTCAGAGCAAACAAAACCCCAACAAAGTGTGGCTTCTGTAATCACCTTCCTGGGTTTAAAGACACTGTCAGGGCCTTGGAGCTGTTTGTGTGTGTGGCCAGAGAGAAAAAGGAAAGGAGGGGAGGAAGGTGCGTGGGAGAGAGGATGATAGACAGAGAGGATGAGGAGGGAAGACGCTCATCTCTTTCTCCACATGATCTTTCTGAGTGCTTTCTCTGACAAAGCTGGAGAGATTTCGGAAGTCAAATCTACTCGTCAGGTTGAAGCAGCTTATGAAATGTCAGGGCAGCCGGGTTACTGGAGGAATCGATAACATCTTTGTTTGGCTGTTATGCAGGTAGATGGACATCTAAATCAATCAAAATGCTATTTTCAGTTTAGGTTTTCGACTGGTTTGCAGACAGAATGCGCAACCTTTCACATAAACTTAATATTTATAATCTTTGACCTGTCCAGTTCCTCTCAAACATTAAAATTCTCCAGTCTCAAAACATTTTAATTCAGCACATGTCACCACTAACTCGGCCCAACCTGCCACATAAAGAATAACAAAGTGTGAGTCAATAATAGAGCTGTTTGAGCCTCCAGACTGGGGGACATTAAACGTGTCACTGTGAATACAAATGCTCACATTATTTGAAATCCAAGACTGGGTTTTGACATTTTACAGCCGTGACTCCGAGCAGAATCCCTCGAGAAGGTTGAACATTCGTGAAAGCATTCATAAGTCAGTAAGAGAGGGTATTTGACAGACTGATCACACAGTGAGACATCATCTACAGTGACAGGGTGGTGATTTAAATCCCATGCAGGACACATATGAAGGATACATGGACAGTGACAGAGGCAGGAACATGCCAGAGGACATACTGTCAGGGAGAGGCTGATTTGAATGTTGTCTGAATGACAGTAATTGAGTTAGACTTAATTTTAGACTTATCAAATCTGTGCACTAATCCTTAAAGACTGTATCAATATTGTGAGGTCACATTCTTCCTCACACACATGAACTTCAAAATTTCATAACAACCAGAATTTAAGTTGCTAAAAAAAACCCTGCCAGTTGCTTTGGGAGATCAGATATCACTCACATCAGCACTTCAAAAATCTACTCCTGCAAGGTCACCCCCTTACTCTGAAGAGGCCTCATAGCTCATAGTGGTTTCCATATCCACTTCCATCCTTCTTCTCAGTCCTGAAAACAGTGTTACCTTTTTACTAGAAAATGATGACATGGCCAGAGTCTTAAACCTCTAGGCCACCAGGACGCTCTTCAGCCGTGTGGATGGACTACTGAACAAACCTACTGGGCACAGGCCTAGGGGTCCAAAGTGTTAAGAGCACCCCTCTGGCTTTTACCTGCAGAATGTCACTCAAACTAACAAGAACCAACCAGGAGGAGACTCAAAATGACTACAATAAGACAAAAAACAGCTGCAAAGAGACACAAAAATACGACTAAAAAAAAAAACGATTACGAAAAGGGGCAAAAGGATCACAAAGAGACACAAAATGACTACAATGAGATGCAAGCTGCTACAAACAGGCTTAAAATAACTACAAAAATAGGCTAAACAACCAAAAAAAATACAAAAAGACACACAACAGCAAAAAGAGGCAAAATAATTATAAAATCTGTTTGTCTTGCTCTGCAGTATTGTTGAATGTAAGGTTCAGAAAAGACCAGATGGTAGCACTGAACATTAAAATGATAATTATTTGATTTGATATAATCCTGGGAATGTTCACAAGTGAGCAGAGGGCTGCGTTTGCCTTTCTAACAGTCACCAAATGATGAATCAGGTCATTAATAATGTGCAAACACAGTGTGATTTGCAGGTGAAAAGACAAACTGAGCCGCGACACGACTAAATTTAGAGTCACGACTATTGTCCTTGTCACATGCAAATCACCACATCAGACCTACCCCGAACCAAGCCAAGGAGTCGCACACACTGTCTACATAAAGTACATATGCAGCACAAAATAATGATCGACACTTTCCTCAGACTTCACGTTGGCTATCTGACAGATATAACGTAATAGAGACATCAACGTTAGTTAATTACGGCCGTGAGCACCACTGTTCAATATTCAAGACAGAAGAGATGGTGTTTGACCCATGGGCAGTAGGCGACCACAGGCCAGTGGTCATCCACAGCCAAACCATTGCACATATAAATATCTTGGTGTCTTTGTTGAGAACTCACTAACCTGGAACACACATGTTGATAGTCTCTGTGGCAGATACCAACAACAGCTGCATTTCTTTTGTTGAGTTCATGGTGTTGATCAAAAATGTATGATGTTTTATTCAGTAGTTTTAGAGAGCCTAATCAGGTACAGTATCACAGCTTGGTTGGGTAACCTTTCTGTGCAGTTAAAAAACAAACTGTTTCGACTGATCCATACTGCGTGGAAAATAATTGGTGTCAAAGCGCACATTTCCATGCAGGCTATTTTAAACAGGCGACTCTAAGCCATGTCAATAAGATCATCAACGACTCCTCTTATGTTCTGCATACAGAGTACGAGCTGCTCTGGTAGAGTGCCTTGTTGCAGATTGAACAGACTTAAAAATGAACTCATATGTATGTCTATAAAGCCTTTAAATAGTGGCAGATGAAGCCAGAACTGGCATTGGATTATGCTGATTTGCATATTTGCATTTTAGCTATTTTTAGCAATTTTGTGTGTTTGTCTTTTTGTGTTTCTTTTGTTATTGCTACATTGGTGTTTAATGTTGATTTCTTTATGTACTATGTTGTATGTTATATTTTTATGGCTGCAGTATGGATGTAGAGCCCAAGACAAATTTCCCACTCTGTGAAACAATAAAGTTAATCTTGAATCTTGGAACTTGATTTGCCATTTGCTCAGGTATAACTGTACAAGGACAGAATTATTGTGCACACTGTCAGTTGCTGGGTAAATGTGTGGCTAATTAACAACAGTTAACTTAGCTATGATGGCTAACATTACTTACCAATTTTCACTAAAAACAGTTGTTTCCTTACAATTACTGACACTCTTTAGCTAAATATTTTTTATTTTCATAATTACCACAATTACAGTTACAGTGCAAAATGATGTATTGATGTTGTGAGCTGCTACTGTATTTCATGCATGTTCTGACTTAAGTGAACTGTTATCTTTGGTACGATGTTACAATAATAACTTAAACATCAATAACCGATGGGAACATCATCCAATTCTAAAGTTTGCGAGTGTATTATGCTCCGAATAAGAGTGCTATACCTGTAGAAGCATAGCAATTTATTTTTTTATTAATATATGGGAGGGGTATAATTATTGGGGTATAATCACAAGTGTGATTATGAGTATAATTACTGCCTTGCTCCAAACCTTTGGGTTTTTTACTGAATCATAACATCTAGGCTCATCTTTCCCCAATATGTTCAAGCTTCTCTATTCTGTAGAAAACAAATTGCCAACTTTCAATATGATGTAAATAACAAAAACAAAAGAACAGAAATATTTACGGTTAAAGGTCCATAGTGTAGGATCTGGTGGCATTAAGCTACCCAGTCTCACTCCAAAGTCATTGAAATCCACCGCTTGGGCACTGACTTGCGGCGTCAGACACTGACGAAAAAAGCCGTCTTTTAACGTTGGCATGATACACAGGCAGTTGCCATTACAGTTTAACAGCATTCTGCGGCGTTGGGGAAATGCGGTGGGACAAGAACAAAAGTTAAGATGGTGAAAGTTGAGTAGGGTCCAGCAAACATCGACTTTCACCCATGAAAGCAGTGTTCATGTCCCGTATGACTCTAAAGCCAAACCCTGTTCTTTTTTTCCTAAATCTAACCATGTGCTTTAGTTGTTGGAGGAAAAAAACATCAATTTGCGTTGTTTTACTGACGTAGTGCCTTTACTTGGAAAGTGACTGTATGAAACGGTAATTTCCTGTAAAAACGGAAGTGTGTTTTGAACAAAGATAATACAAGTAACAGACAGAACTTGACATGGTGTCCCAGAACATTAAAAACCAATGCACCCAGGGTAACTTTCACGTGGTATCTGGACATGGAAGGTCCATGACCAAACACATCGATATGTGACGAGGTTGGACTGAGAATGTGTTGCATTTAGTGGTGAGGTTGCAGTACTGAAACTTCTCCTGTGTGCCAAGTGTGTAGGAGAACTATGTGACCCGTGTGTAAATAATGCAAAAAAAACAAACAAACAAAAAAAAAAAAGCTCAATATAGAGCCAAACAAATCAAACAGTGTTTGGTTTGTCCATTCTGGGCTACTGTAGAACAACATGGTGGACTCTGTGGAAGAGGACCCACTCCACATATAAACAGCTCATTCTAGGTAATGAAAACACAATTATTCTTATTTTCATGTTAGGACAAACTAAAGAAAACTTTATATTATATTCCATCTCTGCCAACAGATGCCCCTCAATCCTCCACACTGGACCTTTAAAGTCATTTTCCCTCCTCACCATCAGATATCATCAACCTAACATAACTGTCCTTGATGCTGAAACATCATTTCCAGCATCAAACATATATGTGTACAGTGACCTCCTACAGAGCAACCTTCTTGCAAACGACCAGGCTATAGTTATTTTCCAGAGAGTTTTCATGACAACACGTCAATGTCAACGCTATATTAGACTTACAGTGCATTCATGCGGTTGTACCGTGTCTTGTGGCAGTTTCCTATGTCCTATGGTAAGCCTCAGATCCAAATTATATACTGACACTCAAAGAAATATTAGCCATATATCGATATGTATATTAGACTATTAACCCCAATAAACGCACAAGACACATACTTATCAGTGAGTATGTACAACTCATTGGAGTATAAGAATCAGGTGTGTAAAAATATGCAAACACTTGACTCATTTACATACTGTTTGTTCTCACCTGTTAGTAATGTGTCCAGCTTCTGTGTCTCCTGCACTTGGAGCAAATATTGTGCTGAAAGTTGCAGGTTAAAATCCTGCAGGGAAAAGGACTGTCTGTGTGGTTGCGCGGCTCTCCGACGATCTGGTCGCAAATTCCTTCAGAAAACTGTAAAGTGAAGCCGCGAGAAGGTTTGAGGACCGAGACGACGCAGCAGTGCGTCAGTGCCGCACTGTGCAACAGAACAAACTGAGTCAGACAGACGCTGCTGCTGCTGCTGCTGCTGCTCCACCGGCTGCATGCAAATCCACAAAGAGAGGAAGAGAGCGTGTTTCAGGACCAAGGACAGGTCCACTCAGCTCTGACAGGAAGTGAGGCAGCTGCCTGTTGAGATGATGGGTTGCACGTATGCAGAAAAAGGAAAATACAGGATGTACCTGTGGGTCATGCACACAGACACCTGTGTCACAGATCAGCAACAAGCCATTATTAGGACAAGTTTTAGTTTGCCTGGGTCTGAAAAGAAATAATCATTGGCCACTTTATTAGGTACACGTGTCAGTTTTGATTGACACTGTCATAAAGGTATTAATTTAACCATGTCTCAACTCAACTCAAATGTATTTATAAAGCACATTTAAAAACACGTTGACCAAAATGCTGTACAAAGGGAATGAATGCTAGAAACACACACATGAAAGGCAACACAACTGTCTCACACATTTAGAGAAACAACACACACAGGCATGCATCAGGCAAAGCAACATCAGGGGGACTTAAACGCTAATGAATGAAAGTGGGGTTTGAGCTTAGACTTTAAAGAGTCAATGCCAATGTCAATTTGTTTTTTATGTGTTCGTTATGTTTTGCCCACCACATCTACAGTTGTGAGGGCGGAAAAATGTCAATATAATGTAGTCCAGTAAAACACGAACTGCAGAGGTAATAAATATCAACATCAGTTGAATCATAGGTGTAGATTTTGGAGGGGATGCAGAGGACACACACCCCAACCCACCCCACCACAAAAACATGACAATAGCAACTGACTTTTATTTAACTTGATGTACAAAGTGCACAAATTGGTGCATAAAAAAGTATCAGAAGGAAAATTAAGTGTTTGATGCTCAAAATGGCAAAAATAACCCAAACCCCCCATTTCATGTGTCTTCCTCCAATGTTGAAATGAAACCTGCGCCCTTGAGTTGAATTAACGACTGTCAACTATCTGACAGAGCTGTTGTAGTGGCATGCGTTATATTGCATAGGTGTACCTAATAAAGTGGCCACGGGCTTGTGTGTATTCTAATGTAGCTTTTTTTTAAATTTAATTGTTTTAAAATCCTCAACAGACTTTGTGATCACTTACCTGCTGAGCCAACATCCATTACAAAAAACACATGATGAAATTCACGTTTCCACATGCCTGTATCACGAGAATTTTCTCACCAAACATATGTGCCAATATGTGCAATCATGGTGCTTAGGGACTGTCTGAAAATTACTGAAAAGGGGGGTGAATATTATGTTTTGCTTTTTGAAAAAACAAGACCCTCCTCATCATTATTAATTCTCTGGACCCTGCCCATGACGTAAAACCAGAATTAGCACCTCACAGTTGTATGCCTCTGCCGAACAGTCAGGCTGCAGTTTACATCCAGGGCTGTCCACACTCATAAATCATATCTAGTAAAGACTTGCATAAAAAGTATTAAGTGTATTTTTATGCAACCCGGCAGAAGATCTTTACAATCAGCACAGTTTCAGGGTGGGCCCCAAAGATTAGTGTCACTAATACAGTACCCAACTAAATGTCTCCCTTTCTGTTCCTGAGCTGTTGTTGAATAATGACCAGATAAGTGTTTCTGCAGAACATTATGATGTCACACTGAAGCTGACCTTTGACATTGTTGATAAAAAAGGCCATCACTTCATCGTTTTTATTCTATTAGACATTTTGTATTTTGAAATCTTGTAATAATTGGTGTGTGAATTCTTGAGTTATGATTTGTGAGGTCACGGTGACTTTGACCTTTCACTACCAAAATCCATTAAGTTCATCTTTGAGTCCAAGTGGGCATTCGTGCCAAATTTGAAGAAAATTTCCTTGCTCTCGTTCCTCAGATATTGCTGGATATTGCTGTCAGCAAGAATGGGACGGATAATTTACAGACAACCCTAAAACATAATAGTGCCGACAGTGTGTAAGCATAAAAAAACAATGCAATTTAAACCTAATATCTTTACAGAACAATAATATTACCCAGAGTGCAAACATTACAAGTGCGGCTATAAATCCTGTGTCCATTATCAAAGCAACACACACAGAAAACTGAACACTTAGCCCTCCCAAAACGAGACAGAGCAGATGAATATTTTTCATACTTTATTTATACACAGTATCCATCATACCACAATGAACAGAGGAACAAGAAGAATCAGGTTAACAAAAGCAGGGGCAGTGAAAGGAAACACATACAAACATCCCTGTGGCTCTGATTGTAGCCTGTAGTGGTACTGTACCCTGACTGGCCTGACATCTGATTACCTCTGTCATGGGTCCAAAGTTTTGTTTTCTCTTCCTCTTCTCTGATAAAGATTCTCAATGTGAGACATGTAAACATTCACTTTTCTCTTAACCTCCAAAATCTCATTTTGGTCCAGATGTGACAGCTGCAACATCAGTCTATATGTTCAAGAATTAACTCAGGGGTTAAGAGCAAATTTGGCAGTTTCATGAAAACGTCACTGTTGTAGCATTGTGTGCCTCAGTAGTAGCCTCTCAAAAAAACAAAATGAAACTGGAAAGAAAAAGATTTAAGATTGGCACCGGTGAACAAAAAGCCAACAGAAGCATTTTTACACGTATTTGTCTTGTTTATAATTCAGCTTTTTAGCCAAACATGACGCGCTACATGACAGCAACCGGGAGGAGACGAAAGAAAAGCGCACGATGCTCATTGGTTTGTCTCATTCTGCTCAACAAGGTGGGGAAACTCCATGCTCCGTGATCTCTGTATCATGCGGGGGGGGGGGGGGGGGGGGGGTCTCTTTCTCATGCTTAGGTCAGGCCTCGCCTCACGCATGCACACAATATACGCAAGAAAGAAAAGACGTGTTTCAGGGCTCCAAAATCCTCGTAGTGTTACTCAGGTTTTGAATTTGTTACAGAAGCAGTCGGCCCTGAGACAACCAAGGCAAGAGGGCATTCAACCGCACGGTAGGTGCTGCATATTCGCCATTACAGTGAGTAGTAGAAAACAATGGATAGATAGTGGAAATACATGTAACAAGGTTTGCTGATACCAAAGCTACCAAAGATCCAGCCAAACGTTATGTATATATATGTATATATACTCTTCTTGGGGGTACTCTAAACATAGAAATGTTCAAACTGTCTACGGTAGTAAAAGCACATTCAGTTTGTAGTATAAAATCTGCTCTTTTTGAAACATATTTACAAAAAAAAAAAAAAAGAAGAAAGGCTGACATACAATAGAGGATCCTCTCTGGACGTAAAAGTTAAGCGGAACATAAAACAGGAACAAAACCTTTTTTCCTTTAACAATTAGAAACCGTTTCCTCAGAATAAGACTCTTTAAAACATACAACAATTATATATTAACATAGTTTATATCTTAATACTAAACTTTACAATGATACCAGACGTGTACTGCATCCTAGAGTCTACTGCTCGTACAGAGTCAGAAAAATAAGCATGCAACAGAGATCTGCTTTGTGCATATGGAAATAGCATCTTTATACTTTGAAAACACTGTCTCTTTGATCCACAGTTTTCTGACCCTATATACTGAACTCCACTGCACTGACAGCTTGTAAGCATAATGTGCTTCTGTTTCTCTATGTTGAGTTAGATATACTGTAGCTCCACGTCCTACAAAACGACACATAGAAACGCTCCCTGCTCAGGGGTTTTAGAGTGTTGGGAAAACATTACAAGGACTTTAAGAACTGTAATAGAAATGATTTTTCCCCACTTCTACTTTGGCACTCATGTAACAGTATACTACCTCTTGTTTTTTTTGTTGTTTTTTTTAAAGTATATAAATATAAAATACACGTGAAGCGGTTGAGAAGTAGATAAAGCCGGGACAGAGCAGAAAAATATGTTCCGTTCTTGTCGTGCATTGCAGCTTGTTGCGTAGTAAGATGGGGGAACATGAGAAAGGAAAAAAACCCATCTTGCATCTTTAATACGATTTCATATTAATGAGAAAGTAACTGATAGACACATTCATACACAAGAAAAAAAGGCTGCACTTTCGGATCAACACATACAGAATAAAGAACATATTATATGAGATGTTTGGGGAAAAATTATGGAAAAATAGTGCCATGTAGGTTTTCTTTAACACTTTGCTCCCCTCTCCTCAGTTGCTTCTCTACACAGATACTGATAAGTAGTAGACAGAACACTGTAGAGGGTGATATGAGTCTTTTATCAGTGGGATTGTTTGTCAGAGTTTGGAAGGATCCTGTAGTGAACGACAGTCCATGCTTTTGTTTTTTTTTTTAACCTGCCCTCTCCTCATACCACGCTGTGCAGGGATGGATGGGTGAACTGAGGGTTCATGTAGGAGAAGCCTGCGAACTCGCTCTGGTCGATGTTGGCGATGACCAGCTGGTCGGGAGGGGTCAGCACAGGCTGCGTACGTGTGAAAAACTTGTCGAAGTTCTCTGCTCCTTTGCCGCACTGAAAGAGATTAAAAGAAGTTTGGGTGTGTTATTTTGATATCTGGGCTGTGACAGGCTACAAAAAGAAGCAACAGAATTGTGTGCTCATGAAAGGGCTGCAGGATATGCAAAACTAGAATTAACGTTTTGCTAAGCCCCGCCCCTTTGGAAAACTGAAACAGTGACTCCAGAGAGAAGCAGACAGAGGGGTCTACAATCTGTGTTTGAAGGATATATCCAGGATGTCAAACTGACTCAGCAGCAACAACAGGTTAAAAAGACAAAGATAGTTAGAAGCTAAATCCCAACTATAGGCTACAGATCACAGTGTAAAAGTGAACCACCACATCACTGCTGATCGCCACACAAGACAATGAATATAAAGGGAAACTTTGCTGATATTGAACCAGCTGCGTGGCATCACAGTGTGTGCAGATGAACACTGCCTGGATCTCCAGAAGTCCAACAATGTTCATCTGCACACACTGTGATGACACAGAGCTGGTTCAATATCTGCAAAGTTTCCCTGCTTCCCTTCACTGGTTCCTGTACAGCAGGGTCGCTCTTTGTTTCACTGTTACAATCATTAAAAAGCAAAAGCAGTATGTGTATACATTTAGTAGTCTATATCTTCAGTATCTAGCTAGCTAACCCTACATTTTTCTGGTTTTGATTTTGGTTTTGGAACAGGGAAGAAATGTATATCTTTTTCCAACCTCTCCAGGTAACTAGTATCATTAATACACGACGTGCCCCAGTCACAACATTTAGCTCCAAATCCACAAAACCAGCCTGAAAATGAAGGAAATCTGAAACAATTGCATTAGAGTCAATGGAGCACAGCTGTGTTGCTGTTGTTGGACCCTGGTCTGAGCCACCCTGATGCTATGTTATGATTGGCCAGTCTGCGTCTAAGGGCGGGACTTAGTGAAGGCTTAATTACTTCCTCATGGTTGTATGCCTCTGTGAACCAGTCATGCCGCACTTAACAATTACATCCATGTCTGTGAAAACATGGATGCTTCACACATATCAGTTCAATATCTGAACAAGTAAGTAATGCCAAAAGTGTTTTTTGCAGAACATTATGATGTGACAGTGAAGCTGACCTTTGACCTTAAGAATATAAATGTCACCACTTCATCATTTTATCCTACAAGACATTAGAGTAAAATTTTGTCATAAACAGTGTTTGAATTCTTGCAAAATATAGCTAAAAAACAAGTTTTGTGAGGTCACAGTGACCTTGACCTTTGATCACCAAATTCTAATCAGTTTATTGAGTCCAATAGGATGTTTGTGCCAACTTTAAGAAAGCTCCCGTAAAGAAATTTTTGAGATATTACTTTCACGAGAACACAACGGATGGGGTCACAGTGACCTTGATTTTGACCACTAAATTCTAAGCAGTTCATCCTTGACTCAAAGTGGACGTTTGTGCCAAAGTTGAAGATATTCCCTCAAGGTGTTCTTGAGATACTGCGTTCACAACAATGAGACAAATCAGGCCACAGTAACCTTGACCTTTGACCTGTGACCACCATTGTTGAGTCCAAGCGAATGTTTGTGCCAAATATAAGGAAATGCCCTCAAAGTGTTCTTGAGATATTGCATTCACAAGATTGGGGCTTACAGACGAATGGACAACCTGAAAGCATATTGCCTCTGGCCAAGGCTTTTGCTGAATGGCGATTTTTGCATTTCATTTTCACTGAAAAGGAAATAAGTAAAACAATTTTTTTTTTCTGGGGTCTGTACATAACAAGCATGTTCCTTCATTTCTGGAATATGATCTGCAGGCCAAGTCATCTCTGTACCACCACAATGCTTAATTTATAATAATATGCTACATCACATTTTACCTTTATAAGAAAACGGTAGCCCCAGTGATTTAGATATTGCACTTAGCCATATTGCGTTTTCAATAATAATTTGATTAATTGTGCCCTAGCTCATAATTAAAAGACATTTCCTCACAAGCCTTTTAATAGAAAGCTCCCCAATGGTCCCAGAGGGAAGGTGGTGCAGGGAAATGTCGAAGCCCGATGTGTAGCTGGGCAGAAGTTGTAATTAGATTAGGAGTTAACCCTAAGCATCCACAGTGGAGGTCATCAGCATCAGTGTGCAGCCCGGCTCCAGGCTGTCATGCGTCTCCAGCAGCTGAACATATATGCATATTGCAGCTTGTCACGCACAGTATCAGCTCAGTCACGACCCTTTTACAAGAAAGCGAGACAAAATCCTTCAGAATGAGTAACGCACAACACAAACAAACTGTGGTTTACGGTGGATTTTAGCACCGGCTGCATTTTCAGCTGCTCTCTAATATCAGCAGAAGCCATAAAGCCTCAGATGGATCTTTTGTTTGCTGGTCCCTTCAGGCCAATTAATGACGCCGTGTATGAACTGACAACTGTGATACACCACACAAAGCTCTCTGAATGGATGGATCCACTTTTAGCAATGCTTTCCTTTCCCTCTCTGTGAGTGGAGAAACATACATCCGCTGTGTAACCCTGCATTTACTGTGGCTCTTGTGCGGAAGTAAAGGGAACTCTGCTCTTAGGGAGCTATTTTTAATCCTCTGTGGTGGCGTGTGTGTTGCTTCGGGCGCTGTAGGCAGAGAGGGGATGGAGGATGTGGGGTCCACAAACTGAAAATGAGTGTTTCTGTGGTGACAGGAGGAGGTTTAGGTGGCAGTGGGGCTGGTGGGTGCAGCTGGGATCCAGCCTAAAGCTCCACTGGGTGCGTAAAACAAATGAAGACGAATGCCAACGTACAATACACACCCATTCTTGCACACACACTTAAATACTCTACGGGAAAGTATTTCAGCTCTTCAACAGTGATGCATTTGATCTATTTTTCTGGCGATTTGCTGTTTTTAGCATCACAGGAATGGCAAGAGCTAAACAAGCGTGTATGAGAAATAAATCACACTACTGGGTGTCATTTTCTAATATGTGTTCATTAGTTCCTGTCATCATCCATCCCCTCTTTCTGCCTCTGGAAATAACCACCTGTATTTCCTTTAACTTATGCCATTTCTATGGTCGAAATGTCAATAAAACTGAGCTAAATGTTGATGTAAACAATCCATTGAATACATTTCAGTGTTTGAGAACTGCCTCCTTGTCTTTTTTTGTTATCAAAGCTCAATAAATTACAGAAAAAAACAAAATGGCAACAGATCAAAAGACTTTAGTGTATGTGTGGCCAGATTGAATTCATGAAAGGAACGCCGTACCCAGTGGAAAGCAACAAAGAAATGCCAGGAACGAACATGAATAACAACGGGTGCTCTTTTGATCCTACAATCTTGTTGTCCAATAATCTTGTTGCCTCCTCTGAAAATTTGCATAAATTGATTGAAAACCACAGTGATTTGTCTTTTCATTTGTAAAATGTCAACGCTGCTGAACTCACGTCACACACTGAAATAGTACATTGAAATTGTTTTCAGTGTTCGGCGGACTCGTTCCCTCTTTGTTTGCAAGGTGTTATGTTTTTTTCTGAGGAAAGATGAAGATAGAGTGTATGCAGCCACAAGCGGGCTCTTACAGAAAGGTGCTGTAAGACCTGTAAAAGTGTCTTTTTTTTCCAAAGTGCTAGGCCTCTTTTTTTTCCTGTGGTCGAAAAACTAAATTTTTCAGAAAGGCAGTGTAGTAGTCACTGTCACTTCTTGCCAGGCAGGACTTGTAACCCTGGTAGGGTATTTTCTGGGTCATAGGGGGTTGGAGTCTATCCCCACTGACATTGGGTGAGAGGCCACACCCTGTACAGGCTGCTAGACCATCACAGGGTGGGCACATAGAAACAGACAGCCATTTACACTCACAGGGACCCGGCGGTGACACTGAAAGAAAATGCAAACTCCACACAGAAGGAGCGGGTTCGAACCGAGCGGCAACCTCCGAGGCTGAGAAATGAAGCCAATGCAGAAGTGCCAAAAACTGCAGTTCCTCTAATGGCCACTTGAGGCTGACTCCAAGACAAAGTAAGTCCCCATAGACCCCCATGTTATAATTCCCAACTTTACGGCACAAATAAACATGTTTAAAGCCTGGTACAAAAATTGGTTTTGGTCTCTATAGCTAATTTCAACATTCATGACAACTGTCAGGGGGTGAATTCCTGTCATAACTCACTCTCACTCTTTATACAGGTTTAATGGCTGGGCCATTTGAGTAACAGGCTGTCTCTCTCTCTCAGATCCACCCCTCGCTCATCCACAGCTACAACCTCTTGTCCGAATAAGGTCACTTCTGGCTCCAAAAAATCAAATGCTGATGGCCAAAATGCCAAACTTGAGGCTTCAAAGCAGCAATCCAGAGATCAATGGCTGCAGACTCTATTTCGAACCTAGAACCCTCTTACTGTGAGGCTTCCACCCACTATATAATATGTCAAACAAAAACTATCATAGCGGAGACAGAGGAGGTCATTTGTGGGAGCAGATTGGCCGGACACTGAATGTTGCTGTATGTTTCTATGAAGTGCTGGGATGAAGCACTCCTCAAGGCCCTGCCTCCACTCTTCTGCCAAAGAAAAATGCATGGGCGGACACACGGCCTCATTGAAGCTAATATTATGGAGTTAGACAAATCAAGATGAAAAGTGCCAAAGTTACAGTGTTTTCAGTACAAAATGTGTTCCTACCCTGCAGCTCAGACAGAAACTACTGTCTGGAGAAACAAAAAGAGTAGGTTTTGTACTAAAAAGACTGAAACTTTGAAAGATAACTCGCATCAGCTTCAGTTGAACTTTAAAAGTCATTATATAGAAACGGGTTGAATTTTATCTTCCATCTCATATTAAATTGTGTCAAGAAGAGATCTTTTCTCAGCCAGTGTTAAACAAAAATATCCAACATACATACAGTATGGGCATGTGAGCATTGTATTGTATGTTGACAGACTAGAAAAAATGTGAACCTATCCTTTAAAGTTCAAATTTAATATATTTTATTTCATTTTATTTTATTTTATCTATGATTTTCCAGAAAATATAAATGTCAATATATTATCTCACACAGGACTGCACAATATGCAGAAAATAAATAAATTAATTAATAAAATCATATTACAACTATTTTACAGATATTGCAATTGCGATAGAGTTTCATTGCATTTCATTTTCACTGAAAAAAAAATTAAATAAGTAAAAATAAAATAAAATAAAAAAGGTTGAGAAAGTTATTTTTTTCTGTGGTCCGTACCAAACAATCACGTTCCCTTCATCTGGAATATGATTTGTAGGTCGGGGCATCTCTGTAGCACCACAATGCTTCATTTATGATGGTAGGTCATTTTACCTTTATTTAAACATTGCAGCTCCAGTGATTTGGATATCGAGTCGACCATATTGGAAATTTAGTTTGATAATATTTTGATTAATTGTGCAGCTCCAATCTTATATACCATGATAGATGACTGACTCTCTTAAACACAGACACACACATGCACTCTCTCGTGGCATCACTCACCACTTTGGGTTTAAATGGCGGCTGGATCTCTCTGTTTGCCAGGCGCTCCCAGTCGATGCGTCTGAAGAAGGCCTGCTCCCTGATGTCCCTCTCCCCCTCTGGGCCACAGCCGAGACGCTTTGACGGATGCTTGGTCATCAGCTGGTGACAACAAACAGAAGAGGAGGGATTAGAAGATGTGACAGGGGCAGTTAGATGCTTGAGGAAAAAGAAAAGGTAAAAATAGTGAGGCAGAGAGAAGAGAGGCAGTGTGTATCTATGTATCAGCCATTCACTTCTTCTTGTTAAATCTTTGCTTCTTGCCTGCGTTATATTACACTGTCACATTATGCAGAGCCAGACTGACACTCATACTGTTTCCACTCATCCAGCTTTATGATACTGGCAGGAAATTAGGCTGACTTTTCATCTATGGCTCAATTTCTGATTCAGCAGCCACCTTTAATTTTAAACATGAATCATTTTGGCAAATGAGAAGTGAAGCAAACAATAAAAATGAGGATTATCTCCTTTGTCACTGGCTGTGAGATGATGAATGATATTTCTCGTGGCGGTATGCAGCTACAGGGTGTAATATCATAAAAAATGAAGGCAGGGTATTTTATTAAAGACTTGATCCGAATGGGCCTGGATCGTAATTTAATCTTCTCTGGAGTGTGAATTGACTCTGAAAACTCATTTCCTTGTTGGTAAATAATCATGACAACCATGATGCTGCTTCACCGTGATGATGTTACGGAAGTGATGCCAAAGTATGAGGGGAACAGGTGTCTGCTGAATAAAGGGCTGTTTTCAAAAAGCCACAGAAATTTTGACTCGACTGCACTGACTGTGTCGAAGGAACAACTATTATTTTATTTGCTGCTGTGAAAAAAATGGGAACTTGAACTGGGTATTTTGTTTGTGCAGAACATTGTTACCCAGCAACTGAAAAAATGTGTTGCCTCCTGATGATATAAATGGTATGAGAATTGGCTTTATCAAAGTATTAAAGCCAGCTGTCAAGGAGCAACCTTTTTAATGCCAGAAAATGTCTGTTATGCTTTTCACAACTTTCATGTTTTCAAGCTTTAATTACTTTTATGAACAACAACAACATAGCGTATGATGCAAGTCGAAGCTTTTCAAAACAGCCCCTGCTCTCCCTTATATTACCAGCCAACAATAACTTAAAGGAGCTCTATACAACATTCAAAGCGTATCTATGAATCTATGAACGAGTTTGTCTGCACACGGCTCTCAACATGGAGGTGGCTGAGCTAGCAGCTAGTAACTAAGGTCCGATGTGTCCACATGGCGACTTTCTTGGGCAGAAAAGTGGTGGTTAGGTGCTGGGGGGTGCCTCATGGGAAACAACTCAAAAAAGATGCTTGTGCCCAGAAAAAAATGCTATGTGGACACTGGCAGTTACAGTGCTGTGTGAACAGCACTAACAGTGCTAACAACCGCAACAGTGCTGACAGAGCTAATGGTATTAACCTGGGGGAGAACTGGAAGGTGGGCACTACAGTTGTGCAACAATGCCATCTTGACATCAGAGGTAACCATGAGCTAAGAGCAGAGTGAGGGCGATTAGCTAGCCGAGCAGATACACACAGACGCTTATGCCGGGTTCACACTACATGACATGTTTGTCTGTTCTGACGGTTACTATGTTAGATAAGGTGATTGTGGAGTCATAAAATCGTGCGGTTACTTGGCCGACAGACATGATAGACTACATGTAGATCCACGACCAAACATCGCTGGTCATCTTTCATAACATGCATGATGTCATCGGATTATTCTTGTCGTATTTTTATTATTATTTTTATTTCACTCACTGTCTGTTCATGTGCCAGCCAAAATGTTATTGTAGTAACATACAAAGTGCCAGCAGATGGCAGGAGCTACATTTAAATATCGTATGCAAACTATGCAAGTCACTGAATACTCCACAACAAGTTCCTGCAAATGTTTCACAATAAAAGCCTGTTTAGAAAATGAGGGGATCCTCTCAACTCAAATTATAATGGGCTTTTAATTTGTACACATACAGGAAGTGTGACATTAACTTTGAAAAGGCAAAAGGAAGTGGTAAAAATATAAAAATACAGAGGGAATAATAAATAACTGCCTGTTTATAATGAAGTCTGTTTCAAATGAAGCTGGTAGCCTCTGCAGTTGTGCTGAGTAAAACCCCGCCCCCTTTTAAAAATTGCATTCCTATACATCCTCCATTATGAAGAAATGTGCTAGCTTGATGCTAATGGCAGCCCTCACCAGGTTAATAAAGTGTCTCTGCTGTTTCATGCCAGCATTTTTCTTTTTTTACCCTGTGTGGTAACATCTCCAGAGGAAATTGCTATACAGTTGTTGTTCATGGCAGCAGATCGCTCTGTTTTCCTGTACGATGCTGCGTCGGGCTACAATCGGGCTGATATTGTGTAGTGTGAACCCGGCATTATATGCACTAACATGCACTGGTCCGGTCAGTGCTACCACAATGAATAGAGAAGCTCTGATTACAACACACAGAGAGATAGCGTGACTTCAGTCTCTACTCAGGAAGCCACTACTCCACCATATCTTTAAAGAGCAATGACTTGTTTGCGGCTATATTAATGCTCTGAATGCTGTATAGAACTCCTTTAAAATTAAAGTTGACAAAATGATTACTGTCATTAGTTTCAAGGTTTTTTTAATGCCACACCAGCATTCAAATGAGTTAAGTAAATAAGTAAAACAGTGTATGGTCCTTTAAACAGCACTTACTCCCTTGCAGATGGAAACCGCTTCTTTGGACATGGACTTGGGGTAGGACACGTTGTGCTCCATGATGGACTGGAAAAGCTCGTCTTCATCCTCGCCGTCAAACGGAGGCTGAAGAGAAAGACAAACAGTGTCACAGCTCGAGGGTTGTTCTGTGAAACCTGACAGAGATACTGAGGTGACAAGAGCAGCATGTGAAGGTGAGGTGAGCAGTGAGAGCAGGTGTATGCTGCATCCCTGTCTTGTACTTATAGATATTTAAGTTAGTGGTCCCCTGTTGGTAATATGTGTATTATCGGGACACAGATGAGATCATTATTATCTAAATCTCTGTGCATTAAAACATTCACTCTCTTGTGAAGTCAAAAACAAGTGTTATTTTGTGTGTTTATGTGTGGGGTTCATCTTCAGTAGGAAAAATATCCTCTGCTACACTGTTGCCTGGAAACTGGAAACCTTAAGACACACTCTTGCTGTCAGTGTCTCAATATTTCACTGGACAGTCAAGATAACTTTCTGGTTTCTTATCCCAAGGACACACGTTGTCAACAATTTATAACTGCTGAAGCTAGCGTCAGACAGTGGCATGATAACAATTTAAAGGCTTATTAAAATGCTGATTTTTCTTTATGGTAGTGACTGATTCATGAGAATGTGTCATTTTACCTCCTTACATTTTAATTCAGTAGACAACCCCAAAGTCTATTTAAAAACATTCATGTATAAATAACCTACTAACCTAATATTGTCATACAGTTATAAACAATCTGAGTTTGTCAGTGGCAAAAACAAGCACTTGTAGTGGATGTAAATTGATGGCGCACAATTGCCCGTAGGGATTACATCACTGTCTGTTACACCACTGCGGCTGTTCTCTCCATTTGTTACTTAAGCCCGTTTCCACCAAACACTTTCAGTATGGTACCTTTGGAACCAAAAGTAACCCTTCAGACATGGTGCAGTACGTAGACCCTAGTGTCTCCACCGCAAACAGTACTCTTAAATGTGGGTGGGGTTGTTGTCACTCACTGCTCCGTCCAGCACTCATTGTATTTCCTCATTACCGGTGACACAGATGGAAGTCTGCACCGCGTTTATTGTCCACAGAACGAGGCTGCACACCGACATTTTCAGAACAAAATAAAACAGGCTGCAGTGAGAGTCTCTCTCCATGGGATATTTAAATATAGCGGGTTTGTGCATTTAGTCCTTCTCAGGCAAGCTCAGGGGTTTAGTGTTGCTGGAGCCCACAGGAACGATGCTCTGCAAAGCTTTTTTTTTTTTCTCCAAGTGAGGATTGGGATATATGCAGTCTGGTTGAATCCACTCATTACTCATTTCATCCAAGAGACAATAAAAACTAAATTAATGGTCAAACTTGTTACATTAAAATTTAAGGTGTGCTGATGGATTAATGTTGTCAACTTGTGCACTGAGCGACATAACAAGTTAAGGTTCCACATTAAAGTTGCATTTAAGTGAGAGGCAGCAAAACATCCTTTCATTTTATAGTTACAGTCGAATAAAACTCTCCACAGTATGAACAGTGGTTACATGAGCCTCAAAACCAGCCACAACTCAGCCCTGAACAGAGTGACCGTCCTCTATTGACCAATCAACAGACTGCAGTGTTCACAGCTCCACCTTTTAGTACCAGATCTGTGTGCTAGGTACCCCAACAGAGGGGGACCAAAAATGGGGACGGTACAGTACAGTTCCATTGGTACCATCCGCAACTTTTCACAGTGGAGACAGGAAAAAAAGTGTACTGAACTGAACTTTACCGTACTACTCCTCGAGTAATCATTTAGTCTATACATTTTTGGATTATAAGAACTAAAAATGTCTGTGTCTCTTGCCCTTCATCATATGGCGACAGAAAAATGTTGGCGTTGCACATCTGCAAACCACAAATGTGTTATATTTGCATGTTTCATTCTGATTACATGTATACAACCTGACCTTGTCAATGAAAGTGAAGGGGATGGTGGATAGCATGACACCTTGGCGTGACAGCTGCCAAGCTTTAGATCACTGTTCAAGACCAACGACAAAAACAGCTGTTTTTACATGGCATTTCCAGCCATGATTGTGGCACCAAAATCGAGTATTTTAAGGCAAAACTTGAACTTTTCCTCACCGAAACAAAGTAGTTTGTGCCAGAACATAACCACATGTTAACTATAGCATTATTGATATGTAAAGTTTAAATGTATCCGCTACATACTAATGTACAAGTGCGACATATCTGTGGTTTGCAGAATCATATAATGCCAGCGTTTATTCTGGCGGCTAGGCTTAGCTACTCTGTCTTTACTAAGAGCTGCAACAAGCAAATATTTTTAATACTGATTAATCTGTTGACTTGTTTTGCAAGTAAGAAATTTGATGTTCATTCTAAAATAAAGTTTTGTCTGACAAAAGATATTGAATTTACAGTGACACAAAACAGTAACCAGTGAATGTTGTTTCTTTTGCTCGATAAATGACTTAAACCAGTTATTGAAAGTGTTACAGGATGACTTTATAGATCTGCACCACTAAATGTATCTTCCTTATTGAGGTATGTTATTAAAAAAAGGAGACGTTATACAGGAAAAATGGTGCAGTATATATATATATATATATATATATATATAAAAAAAAAATTACCTGTCCTGCCAGCATCTCATACAGAAGAACTCCATAAGCCCACCAGTCCACTGATTTTGCATAAGGCTGGTATGCTATAATCTGAAAAACAAAAATTTTACAGTTAAAAAACATAATCATACATACACACACACACACACACACACACACACACACACACACACACTCTACCCTGTTTCTGTATTCAGACATTCAAGTGTTACATATAACCCCAGAGGGGCACGGTAAAGCTGTTAGGAGAAACAGTGAACAGCAGTGCTTTAAAGAAACATTTCTCTCATCTGAACTCTAAATCAACCACCAGTAAATATAGTCAGCTATTCTCAGCTGCCATAACAAAGGCGCTTTCTGCTACCATCCAATTTGCCATCCTACACCTCCCACCCACACACAGTCTACACACACACACACACACACACACACACACACACACACACACACACACACAATAATAATAATCATGTAGATGCAAAGAGCTAAATCACAGCTGCACTCGCCTTTAACAGAGACAGAAATGCAGCAATTTATCCAGTTCACAAAGTCACAATTTACCCACATATGATTTACAAGTATTTACGTCTCTCTGCTTATACTAAATCAAAAAATACAGCTATGAGTTTGCATCCTGCCAAAGGTTATTTCTTGCCCATACATTGCCCAGAAAATGATTTAAAAATGACTTTCCAGGTCAAAAGAGCAGAGATTTTGTGTCATGATGGTACAAAGAGAAGTGAGAGGAGCAGAAGAGATGTCTCATGAAGTTATTATGAAGCATTCACTGTCCAGTGGGAAAAAAAAAAATGCTTATTGAGTCGTCTCTGATTTATTTTTAAAGCCCAGAAAATCTGGAAAGAGACCCGTTTAGATGAAGTTTCCTGTGAGAAACCGGGAGTAAGGGTTTCCCTCACCTCCCACCTGTGAGACAATGTGCTCCCTCATGAGTCAGAGCAGACAGATGGGAGTGGATATTAAAATACATGTGCACATATTTCAAACCAAACAAACATCTAAGTACTGAATAATATATAATGAATCATCATTGCTCTTTACTCTGTGTAAATAAAGGCTTCGATTTGTTGTTGTACACCTAATTCTATTCACTAAGAATAGTACTATTTACCCTAGAGTATACAATATATTTAGATACAGTACAGTATATCACAGTTCATAAAAAACAAAAACAAAACAAAAAAAACACAATTAAACAAAAGAATAAAACCTGAAAGGTGTGAGGGTGACTGGTGAAAGAGCAGTGCACATCATGATGGCTAACATTAGCATGACAGGGGCAACATCGGAGAGATTCAGCCACATGTTTAAGCCTCAGTCAGATGAGGAGTCCGTTATGCACCAAAATCAGCGACGAGCAGATGTATCAGAATCGTTAGTGTAGTTAGCATCTTTTATTTGTTTATGTTGTTTGTTAGCTTGTTAGCTTGTAGGCTAACTGGGAATGGCTAACACAGCGTGAGTGTTTATGGAACAAATATGGTGGATGATAATGGATGAAGTAACTGAAAGCCATACTTGAGTAAAAGTACATATTTCCTAAAAGTCTTACAGCATCTGATATTCACTGTACTTAAGTATCAAATGTAATTTTATATTAAATGTAATTAAGTATTGAAAGTAAAAGTAGTTAATAAAGAAAAATGCTCTTTGTAAAACAGCAAGCAGGCAGAATTTTAGAGTTATTAAGTTTATTTCTCCTTTCAAAGCGTACACCACCTTAAAAATGGAGCGTACATTAGGCTACACTCAAAGAAAAACAAGGTCTCTTTAACAACTTAAGAAGTTTTATGACTGAGTTCGGGAACAAAGACCATGCCTTAATCTCATCCATTATCGCACTAAAAGTATTTAAGCACACCTTATCCATTTCCCGCCCCTTTGACTCAGTTTTCACATCCCTCCCCCCAAAAAAACATTTTCTTTGTTTTTCTTTTTGCTGTTAGCTCTCCCTTTTCTCTCACTTTCCACAGAATACAGGAATCACCAGGGGGCGCTATCCATATTAGAGCAGGTGAAGAGATATGGTCTTTCATAGTGAATAAGGATTTAAAGAACAAAATCCACTTTTTCCCTTCCTCCCATTCCTTCATTAGTCCATCCATCACTTCCTCCCTCCTTCCTCCTTCCTTTCCTTCCCTACTTTCTAGTAAGTAACCGAGACGTTTAGGTGAAATGTATTGGACTAAACTTATAATTTAGGAAATGTCGTGGAGTAAAATTGAAAGTTGACAGAGATATAAAAACTCAAGTAAAGTGCAGATACTCTCAAAAATACTTGGGTACTGTAACAAAGTATTATTACTTAATTACATAACCTCTGGAATGCACCAGGTCCAGCTGTCTCTGCCCTACAATCAAGTATTTTGTATATACTTCAGAACGTGCCGTTGGTGAATATCGAGAGGTAGGAAAAGTTTAAGGGAAATACGATTAATTTAAGACAGTATTTTTGGTCCACTTCAAAATGTATCCCCTCTATAATGCACAAATGATGCTCTACTATCAAGTGTTTATATTACGTTTCTCGCAATAAATATGGGGAGATACACATTTTGTCATTTTGTCCGCAGCAAAATGTTTGGCATGGAGAAAATGACTGACACTCCTGCTGTGCTTGGCTACAGTTGCCGAGCTATGATTGGCTGATGTCTTTTCAGGGCAGGGGTTTAATGAATGGCAAATCACCCACAATTAAAAATCCATAATATAGTAGACAAGAGAGTCTAAAAATAAGGTGCAACACAATCATTACTGTGATCTGGGCCCTGTTTCCACATCTCATTCTCACCTCTGGTGCGATGTAGTCTGGGGTGCCGCAGAAGGTGCGTGTGGTCATGCCTTCATACATGTTCTCCTTACACATGCCGAAGTCAGCGATTTTAATGTGGCCCTCCGAGTCCAGCATCACGTTGTCGAGCTTCAGATCCCTGCAGCAGACACAGGATGTGAGCATTTTTCATTTTTCTGTCTGGATTTGCGGCTGCTGTGATGTGTCCAGAGAGGAGCAGCACAGAAAAGTGTTGCTCTGCACCACTGCCACCTCTCTGAGCAGTTTATCTGACTGCAGCACGCATCATATGCTGGGAAACAAACAATAATTTCTTGGCTTGAAATCTTTTTTTCCTCTCCGTTTTTTTCGCTCTTACAGTTCAGTCAGTGTCTGCGTGTTTCATGTCTCAATTCTTCACTCTCTTCCCCTCCTTATTCACCACTCCTGGCAGCTATATCTGTCACAAAGCAGTGTCACGATGCCAAGCACAAGGCTAGTGAGATATGCAGAATGGATGTGAGTCCTTAGCTGGAGTAGTGAAGAGGAACAGGGTGACCTTCGTCTCTGTCAAGCATTTCTTTTTGTCCCATCTATTTTTGCTTTTTTGCATGAGGGGGATCAGTATGGGCTCTTGTCTCCTTCCTGAGGGTATCCAAGCTGTGCGGTGTACACACAGCAAGTCAAATCTACACGTCCATTTTTAATCTTTCTTTCATTCATTCTGTCTCTGGACCTGCTTACTTTTCCTTCCCTCTCTTAGTGTCTTGTCTGTTATCTCCTGATTGTCTTTTGTCTGCTTCACTCTGTCCATCTTGATGTCTACTTTATCTTGTCTCACTTCAATTCCCATATCTTGTTTTTCCTCCCATTACACTGCCTCAAAACCACTTCCTGTCACTTTTTCCTTTTTTGCTCTCTGTCTTCAATGAGTCACACTTGACTCCTTTGATTTTCAACACACAGGTAGCCTTTATATTTCTCTTCAACAATACAATACCTCATCTATCCATCTAAAATATTTTCCTCTGATGGATTTGTAAAATGTAAAAAGCCAGCATGTGTTTTGTTTCCCGTGTAGGAATGGATGAATTTGAGGTGAATGCATCTCGTCATTAGATAAAAAATGGTTTCTCTCTGACTCACCTGTAGATGATTCCCTTTCGGTGCAAGAAAAACAAACCGACAGCAATCTCAGCAGCATAAAACCTGCAAAATTGAAAATGAGAGAATAAATATGCATCTTCACAATAGACAGCTAGTGAATAAAAAAGCACTACGCAAGAATCCCTGACCCTCAGGACTACATATACATAAATGTTGGGGTGACCTCATACACTGACCATGAACCATTATTCCCCATCTGTCGACTATTACTATCTCTTAAAGGTCTAGTGTGAAGGATTTAGTGGCATCTGACAGTGAGGTTGCAGAACTGACACTTTCCCCTTGTGCCAAACGTGTAGGAGAGCTATGGTGGCCGACGCAAAAGAAGCAAATGGGCCTAACTAGAGTCAGTTTGGTTTTTCTATTCAGGGCTATTGTTGAACAACATGGCAGACTCAGTGGGAGAGGATCTGCTCTGTATGTTTACGTAAATGTCTCATTCTAAGGTAATGAGATCACATTATAAAGCGGACAGGTCATATTAAACAATGTGATTGGTTGTTAGCCGTGATATAATTCCTTTACACAATTCCATATCACTTTGAGTAACCTTGTAACCATAGAAACTGGTAACAAACTAGTTATCTGGCTGACAAACTGTTGCAACATGAATCCATTTAAGGTTAACTTCAACCGCTGTGGGGGCCTAAGCCAACTACGGAGGAGTGGATTGAGGAGTGCATGTTTCCGAGGGAAGAATCTGCAGAACCTAAAAGATAACGTGCAGTGATATGTAAAAATGAAGCCAACTAACTGAAAGAAAATGAGCTACTAGTGAACAAAGCTTGGAGAAAGTGGAGTAACAGCCTCACCACGGCAAGCAACACACGTTCACCTAACAAAACGTGCAAGCCTACAAGCAGATTTCAAGGTCATCCTACTGATGCTGGGCAGTTATTCAGTAGTTGCACAATAGATATCAAAATACAAATTAATATAAATAAATAACTAAATGATAAAATCTATCTGTGATTAAAAAAATAAAAAATAACAAGGTTCTAAGTTGCAGTGCAATGACCTTGTATTATGTGTAGGTAGCCAGGAGGGTCTATTTCTTTGTAAGAATGCTTTATGAATGTGAAGGCTAAGAGGTGTGTTAACAATGGGTCAATACTTAAAGTAAAATGCTGCTTCAGAGGCTTTTCACCCCGACCAGAATACAGCTCTCTGAAATAAGAATGAATACGTACTGTGGTTAGCTTTAATCATACTGGAAATTATGTAAAATACTGTCATCAGACTTCTATCTTAAAACAATATGGGTGGGACCCTGTTCAGTGCCTGGTGCTGTGTTCACACTGGGTGCGAAACAATTCACACAAGTGAATTATATGTAAAATCAAAAGACACGATTAGATGTGAATTCCTGCCAGGCAGCTTGATGGACGAGACACAAATGAGCAAAATTATTGTGCAAATTAAGCGGAACGAATGAAGCGAGTAGAGCAATTCCTCGTCATATGCTCATGTGCAGTGACGATAACCAATCAGCACTGAGATCCTCTGAGGACATATGATGCTGAGAATGTACCAGCGGAAGTTTTTTTTTTTTTTGATTTGGTGATTTTTACTTGCGTATGACTTGAATTACTGGCGTATGAAGTGAGTCGACACAAAATGCTCTTGCGTTCAAACTCACGCAAGTAATGCAACTTGAAAATTTGCATTGCATTTGATGTGAGCAAACCATCACACTGACAAAGCTTCAGACTGTAAATGGCAGCAGATGACTTCACCTGCTGCTTCAATAGTTCCCACTTTAGTGGAAAACCTTGAAAAAAAGTCACATGTAGTGAAATTGATTAGTCCACTGACTGAATGTGGAAAAACTGAGACATTCTGTTGAAGTTGCACATATTTTTCTTCGGATATTTGTTTTGTAAATGGATAAACGTTTCCAGAATGGACTTCTTGTTGTTATTTTTAGATTACTATGTAATGGTTTTACTGGTCCGGCCCACTTGAGATCAAAGTGGGCTGTATGAACTAATGAACTAAAATGAGTTTGACACTCCTGATTTAAACGGTTTAAACGTTCTTGGTAACTGTTTTATAAAAGCAATAGCTCCCTCTCCGCCATGATACGTTGTGAGATTATATCACAGCTTTGTGTCGGGCTGCACAACGCCTCTTCGCTGTCATATAATCACAACACCACGGCATGTCCTGAGCTGTTGCTTAAACGATTCTTACTTTCAGGTGATTAGAACCTAATGAAAACATGACATTTGATATTATATACCATTTCTGCTAATAGATGCCTCTAAATCCTACACACTGGACCTTTGAAAGCAAAAGGTATCCAAAAAATTATAAAAATAAATATAAAAAGCAGTTATTTGCACACAAACTATCAGAATTTTAAGAGTTACATATCAGTGTAGCACAGTGCTGCTGCTTTGTTTGCTTTGAATGTTGAATGTCTTTGTCATTGTGAACAGGTGCATGTGGATATAGATCCTTACACTGCCTGTGGCTCCTTGAATTTGCCCATACGTTGGATATGATACATAAGATCTCCCCCGTTGATGTACTCCATCACAAAGTACAGCCGATCCTACATTGAAAAAAAAGAAAAGAGAGAAAAGATGTTATTGACAAAGAGCAGCTCTAAATGGATGCTACACAAAGAAAAGTACAATATGTGCACACTAAACCAGCACTGCATTACAGATAATTATCTTTAGAATAAAAAGCACCACACACATAATGTATCTTAACACCTGGTCCTCCAGAGCTATTATGAAAAGCCTGATATGATCTATTCTTTCAGGATGGAGGCTGCGGTCAGCTCGAATACCTGTATTATACATCAGGTAGCTTTGATCAATAAATGTAGTTTTTATTAAAGACTCCTTGAGTCACCCTGTCTACGCACAGAGCTGACGTCATGCTGGAGACTTCGTATTCAGGGGTGGTCTCAGCTCAGTATCAATTTTCTCTGCAGGGGCGCTGGCAAAAGAGTGGGAATAAACGTAAGCAGGAAAAGCAAATACAGACGTAATGGAAGTCAGACAAACACACACCGGTTTAAAGCGTCAGGGATTGAAGAGACCGCTGGTGAAAGAATGATAAGGGAGCACAGTGGCACCCTTAAAATAAAGTGATATTTTTTTGGTGTGTGTGTGTCTGCAGCAGTGTAGGAAGTGTAGAAAATAACCACGACTGTGGCTGAAGTTTTTCACACACCACAGTCTGGAAGCAGGAGTGGAGCTGCGTGAGGAAGGGTGGTTTGTCTCTCTGGGCCAAGACCCTCTTCTCCACCATTGTACATTCCACGTCATCATCCTGGATCACTACGTCTTTCTTCAGGATCTTGATGGCGTACAGCTCCTCTGTCGACTTCATCTCTGCCAGCATCACCTGCAGTTGATGAAGACGTCAAGGGTCACGATGAAACAAAAAGATCATGGCTTTTGAAACACCAAACAAATCCAAACTATCAGGCATTCTGATCAAGCATTACAATGATTAATCAAATCTCTGGTCTTGGCTCTCACCTTGCCAAAGCTGCCCTTCCCCAGCAGGGCCAGGAAGTTGAAGTCGCTCAGTCGCACCCGGTCCATGTTACCTGAGGGCAAGCTGAACCGCCGGTGGTCTGACGGCGTGATCACTTTCTTACCGTGACCCAGCTTGGCTTTCTGTGGTGTGCGACAGTGAAAATGGCATTAAAGTCAAACATACATTCAATATTTATATCAGATGTACATTAGAAGACATGGAGCGCTGAGTCAGCCGTCATGCTGGTGTCTAACAGCTGGTCTGGAGTCACATCTTGCTTTCACAGAGAGTCTGAGTCACAGAGAGACACTCATTTTTTTCTTGGTTAGAAGTGTCTCATCAGCTACTAATCACAGTAGGATTGTGTGTCGTGCTGCAGCCTTTCACTTAGATATAATCTCTATCCTAAAAACTGAAAACTTAACTCCCCCAAATGACCATTTGTGTATCAATAACTCACCCGATGTTGCGTTGAACGCATAAAGAAACCTTTCTCACATTCCTCTGTGAGGAACAAAGAATCCAAAAACCTCATAGGGGTCAAAACATCCATTGACAAACTCTCTGCAACTCACGCAGTTTGATCCAAGTCTCATCTGTCCAGTCATATGCTCAGTACTTTCCAGCAGGAACCTGAACTGAACATGAAACGTATCTATGCTCTCTTCACAGCAAGACTGAACACAGTACCTGCAGCTCTACCACTGCCTGAATTAGCTTGTTTGTGTTGTTGTGTGATAAATGAGACTTGGGTTATACTGTCCGAGCTGTGTGAGAGTTTATAAATGGATGTTTACATATAGTCATGAAGCTCTTGCGAAAGTTCAGTCAGGACGACAATACTGTTCATGCTCAGGCTCTAAGTTTCTTCATCACCCTGCCATTCACTCCTTGCACGTATGCTCACTCACTATCTCTAGGTGTCATCGTCTGGGTCTGTCATGAGTCATCAGCTGATTCACAATCAACCAATAGCACGGCGACACACCCTCTCTGTCAGCCTATCATCTTACCGCTCCTCATTTTAAATATGGTTCTTTCTCTGCCGTAGTTCTTTCTTGCTGCCGTCCACCTCTTATCACCACCTAGTCTTTACGGATTCATCAGCCTCATCCGCCTCAGCAGCCATCCGCCTCAGAGTCATCAGCCACCACCACCACCAGTGTCTGGACTCCATGTGGGGATTTATCCTGCTGCTGCTCAGATGTCCCTCGATCAGAAAATATCTCCTTCTGGTGTCCAAGCGCCAAAGACTTCTGTTAAATGTTAATCAGCACAAATGATCTGGTAATTTGTGCACTCATATTCTGTATTAAATATTATCTTTACTTCACTCTCCTGTCTCCCCTGATTGAATTGCTGTTGTTATTTGCGGACCTCTTTTACTCCAATCCAAGTTTTTGGATTCCTGGTTCACTGTGGAATCATCTTAACATGGAGTGAGTAATTTATATACAAATGGTCATTCTGGGGTATCGCTTTAATAACTGATAATGCAATAACCACAAAAGCATTTTAAAATGTGATAAAAATATCTCTCGAAATGGGTTGAAAATGCATTAACCTGTCAGTGACGTAAATTTATGATAAAGCTTATTATATGCAATGTAGTATAAAGTGATGTTTCATGCAATCATACCATATTGATTCTCGGTGTTACGTGATTTGTTACATTTTCAGTCCCATTCAATACATATTTACTGTATTTTGCATGCTGGCCATTACATTACATTCTAATACATGGTGATAAATCCTGTAATTGTTCAGCAGTTATTATGTCCTCATTTGCTACAAGCTGCCTTAGTGGACACACTAACATCCCACACCTTCATTAAATACTGGTTAGCTACATATTAACAACTCAGAATCAAATCAAGTGTCTCCACTCTGTGTCTCCATTTATGTTGAGAGAGAACAGTGATCTATTTTTTCCCCACTGACACTGACATCCTCACAGACATTCAGCAGGGCCGGCAGCAGGGGGGTGCCAGCGTCGCAAGGTTCCCCGTTGTTCTAATGAACGGCCTGCCAAGTGTCTTTGAACAAAAAGGGCAATTAGGACCCTGCCGGCTCCCATCAGGGCTGCAGCCGTTGTCTGTTTCTGTCAGATAGAGAAAACAGGCGACTGGTGGGGCGCGGAGAAGCTGTTGCCACGCCAACCGTTTCTCTACTCTTTACTCAGTGTGGTAATATATTCGACATAACAATTGCCGCATATTTGACTCGGGTTAAGTGGCTCTACATGCACACCTGGGCAAGTCAATTAAGAGCGGAGTAATGTAAACAGTGAATCGGTGTGTCGGCTGGGGGAGAGGTTCTCATTTTGACCCTGGGTTCTGCCGCCAGGTGCAGGAAGTGATTGCATTTAATTTCAGGTGTAATTGAGTCCCAGAGGAGACAGCTGGGATGGGATGGGATTCCTGTTGGGAATTTTTGAGAACCAGCCCATCATTCTACCAGTTTTGAGCAGAACTGTTATAATCAAGGATGTGTCATCAACGGAGGGCATTGCATAGTACAGAACTGATGTTAACAGTCGTGGCGAGATGGTGGATTGCATTGATTACCTGCAAGCTTTTGCTCTGTTGTTACAAATACTTGTTTTTTATCCAAAACCAAGGCTGGACCAACTGTTAACAATAAGAGGATGTAAAGACTATTACGTGAAAGACTCTATCCAGCCTGTAGAACATGACATGCCCACTGATGTCATCATCATCATCATCATCATCATCATCATCATCATCATCATCATCGGTTGCATTTGAGGTACCTGCTAGTTTTTGGTAGCAGCCAACTTTTCAGGTTTGTAAACCAATCTATGCTCCGAATAGTTCAAATTAGGTGCTGCAAATTGACTGGAAATTGTTCCATGTTGATGGAAAAGGGGTATTAGAAGCATAATTTATTTATAAAAAATACTCAAATCCATGTAGCAGTAAATATAACCTGTTACAACCCAGCCCTGATTACATCGATGTTGTTCTGCAGCTTGAAATAGTTGCTCTAAGATCACCTTTACTTTCAAATCACAGAACATTTACACAAACTGCACATGTCTAACATTTGCTTACATAAAAATGAAACAACTTCACGTCATAAACAGCCCACAAAAACCACACCTGTTTCAACACAAACGAAAGTTGGAATATTTATGTAAGTGGCCACACAAAGTTGTATTCAAACACACACACGCACACTGCAGCCACACCACAGTTTTATCATGAATATAACACTGCCACCGCGTGGAGAGATTCTGCATGCACACATGGAACAGCTGTCTGTGTGTGCATTCACTCAAACTGTCACAGTGCATACGTGTCCATCCATGCTTCATGTCCTAACAGCCTTCTATAGTCCACGCCAAAGGTGGACTAGTAGAGGGCGGACTGTGGACCACACTGTCAGCCAATGAGGAGCGAGTGTGAAGCTCTCTTGGCCAATGACAGTTCACTGATCGTGGTAAAGATGGTGACACCGACAGAGGCCCGAGTGGTCCACGAATTTACTAACAATGCTGTGTGGTGTTTGTGTGTAGAATAGGGAGTACATATGTGCTGCACTTTGATTTAAATTTCATATACATATTAATGTCGAAATCTGGGCTGTTATATTTTTGTGCTGGAGGAACACCAGCTGCTTTCCTGTCTGCATTGTAAAGCCAAATGCTGCAAATGTCAGACTTTGCAGATGCTGACCTTTGCAGAGCAGATGCTGCAGGTGCTGTAAAATCCTCAGCATTTATCACTGACTCGTTCCTTTATATTCAAATTATATGTAGTCCCTTTCAGTTTGTGTTTATGTTAAAAAGCATCAGACAAAAAGAAGGAGAAAGTTAGTGTTTAGTGTGTGTGAGAGGAGTTACAGCAAGCAATTTGGGCTGGTTCAACTATGAGCTGTTGAGAGCCTTTGTTAGTAAATCAGATTAATTTGTGGAAGCCCGGCAGAGATCCACAAACAATCCTGATACAGTAAGTAAAGTGAGCGTGATGCAGAAATAGAGACGGAGCAGGCAGAAGAGCTACCTTGAGATAGTGGATATTTAACTGGCAGGCCTAGAATAAAAGAAGAAACTCACTTATTAGTGCGGTCAAAGGTTAGCTGCTGTGTGTATGTGTGTGTGTGTGTGTGTGTGTGTGTGTGTGTGTGTGTGTGTGTGTGTCTTGCTGGGAAAAGAAAGTGACAGTATCAATAGCGATGAAAATGAACACAGGCGGAGTACATCCTTTTCTGTCACATCTGGTTGCATCTCTGCATCTCGCCCCAGTTTCCACGGCAACCGTGCAGTTGTGTGAAGACGCTATAGCCTCAGAGGAAAGTCAAGGTCAGTGTTGCACATCATGGAGAGAGAAAGAAAATTAAAAACAACAAGACTCAGCGTCTCGAGAGCTGCTGTAAGGAGATGACATTTACACTCAGTATTGTGTGCACACACACACATACACACAGAGCTGGACTTTAATAAAACTGCCCTCGCTCAGTTTGAGTCCCATATGTCTTTGCACTTGTTTACAATGCAGTGTTTAATATATCCGCCACCTTCTACCTGCATGAGAGTGATATGGGTGTGAAGATGTTATGAGTTTTATATAAAGCAAGGATGTTACTGTCACAGAGACCTCACTGCAGTAAACACATCGGCCACTAGAGGGCAAGAGTTTGCTGCTTTGGATATTTCCTTAGATCTAGTTAAAGGATCATCTACACACAACTACCAACCATTTACAGAGCAAACAGTAGTGTTTTTGAGGTTTGAATGTGTTTTTCTTTCAGGCAGTTTTTAACTTTAATGTCCATACAGCAACAGCAAGTCTGCTAAGTAGAAAATTTATCAGGCATCATATTTACATGATTGTTTCACTTTTTTTTTTTTAGCAGAGTTCACAGTTATAAAATGAGTATGCACTTACAACTGAATCAATGTTGGCATTGTACACTTCTGCAAACCACAGATAACTTACATTTGTGCATTATTATAAAGTGAGACTTAATTTCTGTATGTTTTAACAATGCTGTGGTTAACATGTGGTTATGTTCAGGCACAAAATCAGACCTTGAAATACTGGCTTTTCGTGCCACTATCCCAGCAGCAAATGCAATGATGACTCGGTTAAAAAAATAACCACATTTAGTGCCACTATCCCGGGGGGGAAACACAGTGACAGGTCACTGCAAAACACCCATGACTGGTGGCTAAAAGCCACTGGAAACCCAACAATAACTTGCTAGAAAACAACCCATTTGTTTTTTGGGGGTCTCAAACAGTCTTCAGCTTGGCAGGCATTTTGCCTTGGTGTCACACCATCCACCATCCTCTCCACCTCCCAATGACCAAGTCAGCTCATATACTACATCCCTTGATATGATACGAAATGTACAAATTTGTGGTTTGCAGAAATGTACAGAGTCTCTGCAACAATGTGGTGGACAGATTTAATGTAATATATGAATGATTTTAACTTAAATTAATGACACATGCGAAGGGAATAATTTGTTCCAAGAAGCATGATTAAGAGAGAATAATATTAAGGAAAAATCATACAAAATAACTCAACTAAAAAGGATGACATATTAGTAAGGAGGAAAAAGCTTGTTTCCTGGTGTTTGTCTGGTTTGGTGGAAACAAGGACTCAGTTAAACAGCAAAAACTGTTTTTTACACCTTGTGTTGTGCTTTACATCTGAGTCAAATGAGAGCAAGAAGAAACAGCGAATCATTCAAGTTGATTTTTCAACATAAACCATTTCTGGGCTTCATTCAAACCAGTGGTTCCCAACTGGTGCAGTCACAGGGCCCAGATTTTTCCTTAGTCATTAGTTCAAAGGTCCACACAGTTTAATACATTCAGCATCATACTTGTGTTTGGCTATGCCATCAAGCTAGTTTGCTGTCTCTGTCAAGTTGCTGTCCATTCGTCACTGACTGCAGCGAGAAACAGTACTTCAAAATAAAAGCTCTGTGCCAGAACTTCACTATATTTAAAAATACAGCTTGTGGGCCATTCAGAATGTACTCGCAACCCACTTTTGGACTGTGACCCACCAGTTGGGAACCACGGATTTAAACCATCTATATGATTTTTTTCTTCCAAGTCATGTCCCACTGTAAACAAAACCAGTGGTGCACAGGGAGGTCGTACATGTTGACATATTGAATCTACAGACTCCTCTGACAGCTGTAATTGATTGTTTAAGCAAATACTTTAATGCTTATGTTTATTCCGACCTCCTTATAACTGCTTTTGAGGGGTGTAGTTTGGATTGGGTTTGCTGAAAAGTAGCCACCTCTTTACTGTTCCCACTAACAGGTGTGAGCATCATGAGTTATCATCTGCGTCTGCACCTGCACTTCTTACATAACGCTCCCAGTACGTGATTCCTTTGTCCACTGTAAGCTTGTCCTGTATACATATGGGGATTTTCCTTTAAAAATCAAGAGCATTCACTTTAACGCAAGGACAAAGTGATCTCCCACTCTGGCACGCAGGGTGAAAAGCACAAGCGGGGAAGAGGATGAAGTTACCATGGTGACAAGAGGGAAGAAGTGAATGAGCACAATACACATGTGTGCATGTGTGACAGAGAAATCCTGCTTATGGCTTTATTGGATTCATGACCTGAGCTGACCTCACCTCAAACTTCTGTCGGAGCTCCAGGTTGACGTCGTCCACCTCGGGGATGGGAACGTTGTAATATTCTCCTTCCTCCTGGTTCAGCAGCTTGTACCTGAGAGAGGAAAAGACGAGATGGAGAAAAGTGAATCTACATTTTATCTGATTTTCTTCCATCATCCATGAATCTCTTCCTCTGTCTTCCCACGCAGCAATAAAACTTTACATCTCTGCACCACTTCAATAATCAGCAGATGATTCTCCCCTTTTGAGTGTTTGCAGGTCTCCTCGTCAGCAGTGCCAACTAGGCTCTACTTCCTCTCTAATGTACACATCCTCTGGCCACTTGTCTAATGACCTGGAACATACAGCAGACAAACACACACAGGAGTAGTTCGCGACGCTGCCGACACCAAACATGTCTGTGCACAGGTATTTCCTGGGGCTTTGTAACTGTGCTCAAAGCAGCAGTCGATCAGGCTCAGTTTAGGCTGGGTGGCGGCAGGTATGCTAACATGGCCGTGGAGTGTGAGTGTGTGTTTATCAGTGTGAGACAAAGCAGGCAGACAAAGACATCGAGACGAGGAAATGACGCTGACAGGTGCTGTCTGTTAAACTGATGGAGTCCGCAGTGTTTACATCTGTTTTAAGCACAATGTGCTGCTGTTTTGTAGTGATGTTGGTTAGTTGGTGTGGGCCAGGGCAGAATCACGCTCACAAGTTAGCACACTACTGAAACCACATTCACTGCACTCCATAGTACTCATATTTATTATTCATTCATTATGTCATTTCATATTCTGCTTTGAATTTTGTTTTTTGTCATTATACTCTACTTCTACTATATATTATTGTTCTTTGTTTTTTTTCCCCAGGTGTACTCTGATGTCAGTTTCAACGCCTGTTTGAATAAAGGTTATATAACCAATCAGAGCAACTCACTTATTTACAGAAGCACTAAGAGCAATGAGAACAAAAAAAGTGGTGATCCATTTTCTAACCCTAATCTAATTTGTTTTCTCTCCAGTGTTTATGACTGAATGAGGGTGTAGATTACATGTAGGAGAACTTCAGTGTCCAACACGACCTATCTGGAGCCAGTGTTTGCTTTGTCCATTCTAGGCTACTGTAAATGAGCATAGCAGTCGTAATAGAAGAAGACCCACTCTATATGTAAGTTAAGGTAATGAAAACTCAACAATTCATGCTTTCAGAGGAATATAAAGTAGTGAAAACATACTTATGAATATTATAATAATACCATTTCTGCAAATAGATGCCTCTAAATCCTACATACTGGACCTGTTAAGAGCTGGAAAAAAAAAGGTTTTGCCAGGATAATCTCTCCAATTTCTTTTTGTTTTGCATCTGTGAAACAGGTTGAAAAATAACACCACACTAATGTTATATAACTTGGCAACGCACAATGAACCTTTGGCTCAAAGTGAATGGAGACAACTAACTGGAAGGAAACATGAATGCTTCTAGTTCTATTTAGAACATGGGTTAGTGGTGCACCTCAGACACTTGTGTCCAAGTGAATACTCTAACAACAGACCAAGAGGAAGTGCCAAAAACTGCAGTTCCTCTAATGGCCACTTGGGGCTGGCTCTAGAAGCCAGTCAATCCCCATAGACCCCCATGTTAAAATGTCCAACTTTACAGAGAGAATAAAAATGTTTACAGCCTGGTAGAAGAAACGGTCTCAGTCTCTACAACTCATTTCCCTCTGAATGACAACTGTATGAGGGGTGACTTTTTATATTACTCACCTGTTCACATTTCATTAAGGCCCAAAGTTACACATATTTAAAACCCAGCTCAGACCAAAGATTTGTGACAAGATGAAACCGTTTTAGAACGTTGAAGACAAAAGTTGCAGCTGTGTGAACTGGCCGGTCTGAGCAGGCTGATGGTGACAGTCTAATTGACTCGCTAAGCCCCCACCCTCAAACGCGATTAGCCAGTCACAGTGCGTATAGCCATTCCCATACGCTCGGACATTCTCTGCCTGGACGTCCATTGAAATGCATTACAGCATTCGTTTGGTGTTAAGAGCTTTTTCTGAGATCGGAAGTTTAAAAATGGTCAAATGGTGTGCATGGGGTATATGCAACTCCGACACAGGGTATCCTGAGGGGCTGGGCGACGGGGTGTATTTTTTACCCTTTCCTAAACCACATCTCAACCGAGAAAAGTGTCTCCTTTGGATAAAGTTGTGCAGTAACGTTAGACCACAACATCAACTCAACGTGAATAAGTTTAACAATTATGTCTACATCTGTTTTAAGGTAAGTCAACATTGTGTTTGAGGCAACATATTGTCACTTTGCTGGAAAGAAATATAAAGTTATCTTTAACATCTCTAGCTAACATTAGCTAAAGTTAGCCTAATGTTAGCTCCTAGCTGCGTTGTTCATCATGTCACCTTGTTTGCTGGGAGTTCATTAGCCTATTTTGTTCTAGTTTTGTACTTTGGTGATCGTACATCATTGTTAGCTGTTGTCCAAAGGGCTCTAGTTAAGCTAACGTTAACTTCTGGAGCTTAGCTTCATTAATTTATCTGTAATCGCAGAGATAACAAAGGTTGGCAAACGTTATGCTGAATGATTCAGTGTAAATACTGTAGCACCAAACTAACGGAGAGACACTCTTGGTAAAGATGGTAAAAAGGCTGTTATCCTTTTCTCATATTCTGAGCCAAAAACCTTAACTTCAGTGGCACTTTGATGCACCAAAATTTGATCGTTATGTCTCCAAAAATCATAAATTGCCTGCTGCGAAATGCCGTGTACTGTGACACCTGCCATAGCGCTGGTCACTGAATGTTGATATTTTGTCTGAGTGAGTGGAGGGGGCGTGGCTTAGCCATAGGTCAATTGTCCACAGCTCTACCCTCTTGGCAGCATTTGGTCACTTTTGCCTTCAAAAAACAAGATGTTGACAAACAAAATGCCGAACTCAAGGCTTCAAAAAGCGAATCCACAAACAACAGGTGACGTGATGGTGGCTACGTCCATTATTTTTACAGTGTATGCAAAAAACAAAATATTCTGACGGAAAAAAAAAAAATTAAACTCTTCTTCTCCCCATTTGGTTACAGAGTATTTTTAAGGAACTTAGAGAGATTACCCTGGCAAAACTTTTTTTTCCCACCTGTTCTTAAGTCATTAACACTTAAGCAGTTGAGATCAGACTTGGAAAATGGATTACGAGATTTTTTTTTCTCCTCACTTGCCTCTCAAGGCCTCTGTAGTCTATATACTACCAGAATATTAAAGAAATTCAGTGTTTTTTTTAATTATAGCTTTAATCTCCTTTTACACTTTTGATCACTCATTCGTTTAAGAAACACTGGTCGTGACACCGTTACAGAACTGGTACAGCTTTACTATTTTACGTGATGTACCATGCTGTATAAATCCAGCATGTGATGTCTTTGTGATTTCTTTGCTGGCTGTAAATGACAACTCCCTCACACCAGCTGATGTTTTAGAGAATCAGAAACATTATATGTTCACCCTCTCAAGAGAAAGAGACAAAGAAAGACTGACTGACCATCCACAGTTGGTGGATTTGATGAGCTCGGACACTCCAAACGACATGGAGCCCATGAAGTCGTTGCGAGTGGTTCGGTCCCAATCCCACACCTCGATGGACAGACGGCGGTCCTTATCTGATGCTTTCAGCTTACTGAACACACACATAGACATACAGAGGGAAAACATGTGACGGCAGAGAATTCAAGGATAAAATGGTGTCCTTAAAATGTCTCCTATATTCATTTTGTAACCATTTGAGTTTCTCTGATAATGTAAAATGATCATTCTTGTCATAAATTAAATGCCCAACAGCAGACACACTCAGAGTTGTTGACTCACAAGGTGAAGGACTCATTCCAGCAGGGGTTAAGAGAGGAACGGATGGTCCTGGTCTTCTGTTTGGTCTCGTTCTTTGGGTCGGGGATGAGCTTGAGTTTAACATAAGGGTCTGATAAACCATTTGGATCCATAGGAATCAGGTTCCTTGCTTCCCCCACTGGAAGATGAAAGGGAGACAGCGAGAGAAGATGTAACCATATGTGTGTGTGTGTCTGTGTGTTTGAGCCTTGAGCCAGATTCAGATACTTCATGACTCCACACTGACTCAGGGGTTAAAGTGGCCAGAGATGGGGCGGTGAGTCACTGAGAGTCACTCCAAAGCCAGGCAGCAAACAAAAAAGATATGAGCTTCAGTCCCTAGGAAATTACTGCTCTGTGCTATATTTGTGTGGATTATTAATCTCCCTCATGTTTTGATTCTTTGCAAGTAGATTTCTGAACAATACTGGCAAAAGAAGTGAAAACAAAGGACTTCTGAGAAATATGATGGGAACTAAAAACAAAAGTTACAGATTGAAGATTCTGTAGCATGAAAGATTTAGCAAGTACTTGAGCTCTATGTGTAGTCTAAGTTACTTAAATTCTTTAAACAGATATCCAAAATTACAACTTCATTGTATTTAGCTAAAACTGCCAAGTTCAACCCCTTGTGTTCAGACAACATTGAAAGTCACTGTGACATTCAGAACATTAATACAGCAGCAAACCGCGATTTGTTATGTTAAGATAAAGTGGAGTAATGGTGTTACACTCCCTCTGTGTGTGTTGTAATCCAAGCTTCTTTGTTCGTTGTTGTGGTAGTCTGTCCATGTGTGCCTGCATGCTGGTGCATGAGTCCCTGTTAGTGTGTCCAACTGGGTGGCTAATTGCTGTCGCTCTGCACAGTACTCATAGGGTGATTACAGTTGATATCAGGATGGCATCGTCACAGTAGCATAACGCCCACCCTCTGGTTCCCCCCTGGGTTAAAATAGACTGAGTTTCTATCCAAAAGTAGTGTAATTTTTAACCAAATTTTCAGAAAGTTGTAAAGTATGTTTCCGTCAACTACTGCTTTGCAAATATTGGGAGTTAATTCATCGAGGAAAGCAATGGGTGGCGCTACTTCTGCAGTCAGGTGCCACTGCAGAAAAGGGCGGAACAAGACAACCTCATTAAAAGAGCGTCACTCAGAGCTCAAACAAAGGAAAACAGTCAACTTATACTAATGGAGAGAACACCGGACAGTGGAAATTAAGAGTTTTGTGCCATTAATATTACAGCTTTGTACTTCCTGTGTGCATTTAAGTGTGTTAAAAACCATCAAGAGATGACGATGAGAGGTTGCAGTGCCCTGTGCTACAATGGAAACATTACATTATCATTAATTCGCTGAATCTGTTTCCATGGTACTTAGTTGCATTTAACTTTTATCAATACAACTTTTCCACTTTCCCCTAGCGTAAAAACTTTTTTTGTGATTTTATTTACCGGTATCTATTTATCTATTTTCAGTTCCAATCTAAGATTTTAAATTGTAAATGCCCATGAAAAAGGTGGACGGAAAAGTTCTTTATGTTAGCTCAGTCAGCACTGTTGACATTTTAGTTTGTAAAGCGCTTTGGGGTTGCATTTTTGATGTATGAAAGGCGCTATATAAATAAAGTTTGATTGATTGATTGATTGACATTGTAAGCGCTATGGAGTTAGCATCTTTAGCTGCTAGCCACCGACTGGGCCACCTCCATGTTGAGAGCTGTGTGCAGACAATCCTGCCCAGGCTCTGAATCATACATATTCTCTGAATGTCACACACAGCTACTTTAACATTTGGAAAATTTGGCTTCTTCTTTGTCAAATGAAAAAGAAAAAAATTAAAGTTTCTTACGCTTCTAAGGCAGGGGTGTCAAACGTACAGGGGCCAGAACCAGATCTCACCCGGCCATTTAGATTACTGCACTTAAGAGATGATCGTACCTACGATATTGTCCACCAATTTCATAAGTGTCTATATACTATAATAATATTCTTACAGACCTTTCTTTAATACTTAATGTAAAAGTTACTTATTATAAATACCAATGTCACATACACCCTGGACTACATGGTAAAATACAGCTGGTCTCAAAAAATGTATTTGGGAATTTGTTGATGGATGGATGGATGGATGGATGGATGGATGGATGGTGTTCTGTCGCCAGTTACTCAGCTAATGGCTCATTAAAATCGGACAGCACATACGCCGACAACAGGTGCTGCGGAGCAAAACATACTGTCAAAATTTACTTGTGAAACCGCACCAACTGGATAATAACACTGGTGGGTGTCAGGGCACATGCAAATGTAAAATCAACAAAAACAAGAAACACTGCAAAATACTAAAAAGTCCGTCTCACATATTCTACTCTAAAACAACCTTAAGAGGACAACAGATGATAATTACACAACACTGTGTGTACTCTCTGCCTCTCATGGTCAGGCAATAGGTGAGCATATAATGTGATGGAGGCGTGACGTTTCCCATGTGTGATAACTGACAAATGGAAAGAAAAGGAGTGCTGTTACATAGCAACGGTAGGAGTAAGAGGGGCTGGGGTGGCGGGAGCATGCCACTTTCACCATGGCGACAACATCTACTGTAAGTGGCCAATGGGCCAACTCCAACACTGCCCCACTTAGCAACATCATGTGAACACACAAATAAATGTCAAGCACAAGAGAGTCACACACACACACACACACACACACACACACACACACACACACACACACACACAACATGGATTAAACAAGAGGAAGGAAAGACGGTAAGAAAGAGAGCGCCAGGGTACATCTGAGAGAAAATAAATCTGAAGTTTCTGACAGTGAACACACAACAAAACTCCAACAGACGGAGAGCAGACACAGGATCACACTAAATCCTCTGTTTATCAGCTCCAACCTCCACTCTGCATATTTAAATGTAATCAGACACAGCGAGCAAGGAGGGTAAAAAAAGGCTCTAATCTGAATGTTTCAGGGAGTCAGTGTGAACTTTCACACAAGGACACGTTTGCCGAGATTCTCCATTAAAACAGTGGTAATGTATTTTCTCTCCAAAGCATAAATATTCCAGGGCCGAATACCAACGCAAAACGATGAAAAGGAAATGTCACTTAGAGTCGCTGCAGCTCATTTGGTTCTGTGTTTGAGAGATTTAATCTGATTTATTTTGACATTTAGCTCATCGCTGGATGTGGCAGTGAGGTTTGAATGGCAACAGTTTTTTAAGGGAATTTAGAGTTATGAATCATGAAAAAGTCAGAGGCATAAAAAAATAATGATGAAACAGAAAGTAAGACAAATTAAGTTTGATTATCATTTATGTCCATTATCAGGGTGTCTACAGATATAACCAAGGTAAATTTAAGACTATTTAAGACCTTTTTGATACCACCTCATATGAAATTTAAGACCTTACTCTATCCAAGTAAACACACTGATTCACTTCAAAATCAACAGTAAGGAAAAATAACAACCACTGTGTGAGTTTAGGTTTAATGTGTTTAATGTAAAAAGAAAACAAAATCTTATTGCTGTCATAAAAGCTATTTATTATTGCAATTCTTCAACCTGTCCAATGATTGTAAACAGTCACTGGGTTTGTCAGGCTGGAGACATTTTTGAGACGATGTTTTAAGACAATGTCAGACGTCTTAAGGCTTTATATTAAGACAATTTAGAGCACTTTAAGACTTTTTAAGGACCTGTAGACAGCCTGACTGTAAGGCAAAAATACCCCAAATCTACTTTTGTTTTTCCAGATTTTCAAATGTGAATGTTTGCTCAGGTTTCTCAGTCTTCTATGATATTAAACTAATCATCTTTAGACTCTTTTAAAAGTTGTTTTCTGATATTTTACGCACAAACTGATACCTCAAATCAATAAATCAATTATGCAAATAATAATTAGTTGCTGCCCTGTGCTGGACTTTCTACTTTGGTCATTTCTTTCAGGTTCATGGGTGTTAGCCTACTTTAGCAAATGCTGTCCAAGAAACAATATCTGGCTTCTTCTAAAGGGGTAAAAAGTAGCTCTTGGTCCCAGTCCTTTTTTCATACTCACCCAAACCCCTTGTTTTTAGTGGTCCTTTGTCCCAGAACAGAGTTACAAATGGTTGTGGCTGAAATCTTCCCCTATAAAATGTGACAACCCTTCAAGACCCTAATATGTCATTAATAGCCGTCGATGAGGTTTATGTAAACAGATGCAACTATGGCAATAATGGGTCGCAATGACATTTGGCATTTATCTGATAGAGACAGACAAGCATGGAAGATTATGATTCATTCACAACTCAAGTTTCAAGCTGTCAATTGATCACACAAATCATCAAATAAAAAGGAACACTGCTTCATTACCAGTCTGCGCTGATATTAGAGGGGCTGTAACAAGTGCAGCAACTTCACCGCTGGACTTCAAGTTTAATATTTGGGCATCATTTGCCAACAAAGAGGGGGGATGATGATAACATGGACTTTGTCATGAGGTGTGGAGCAGGTGGACCCAAATGCAGTAGTTAGGAACTTGATTAGATCATTCTTTATTCTAAGCAAGGAAAACAACAAAACCTAGACCGCACAACCAAATCAAAGATCCAACAAAGACTGAAGTGAAAACCAGGACTTAAATACAAACTAGTTTGACGAGGGGATGAAGTGCAGGTGGAGAGAAAGGGGGAGGAGCACAGCTGAGGGGAATAAGGTGACGAGGCAGAAAAGCAGGGGAAGAACTAACAAGGCTGATTCAGGGCAGGTGTGTAGATAGGCAAATGAGGGAAAGGCAGCACAGGAACACAGGAGAGGAAGAACACAGTACACTGAAACCCAGCAACCAAGAAAATATAATCTTCTTAATAATAAACTGACCAAGTGAAAACAAAGTTAGACTAACATGAAGTCAACTTAAATGACTCTTAAACAGACAGTTAGTCCGATCTTCCCAAAAGTCTGATGGCATCAGAACACAGAAGAAAGAATGATGTCAGACTGTGAGACTGGCACACACAAACCATCAAGAATAATGTAACAGCTTGCTAGTTAGCCACCAAGACATCAGCATATCACTGGACTTTTTTTTTTTTTTTAGTTATGTTTGTTATAAAGAAAACCCAGCTGGCCACCAACTTTGTTTGACAA